TTCTTTTTTTTTTTTCATTTCCAACAACAGCAATAACAATAGAACTACAAACGGAAAGTCTTAACCTTTAACAATTTGTTAACGTTCACATTATTATTAACTCATTATTCACCAAATAGTATGACACAAATTTTACGGTTCACTTAATACTGCCGGCCGCACTCGTAACACTTTGTCATGGCGATATTTTTTTCGAAAATGAAATTTGTGTAAAGGGCTTTTCAAAAACAAGAGTAAAAACTAAAATTTTAATACCCAACATACTAATCTTTTATGTTCTTGACTGGGTCAAGGTATATGCGAATGTGAAAGAACGTTTTTAAAACGTTTCATGTATTTGACCACTTGCGACTGAACTACGTGTTCGATACCAGATACTGAACTTTGTTGCGCAGCAATGGAGATATATAAAGTGTCACAGGAAAATCCATATTGAACACCAAAGAGAACATGTCAGGCGACTTCATCGATTGATACAAATTGATAGGTGAAAATAAATAAATTATTGTCCCTTTTTGTGGATGGCAGCAATAATGGTAGGCAATTTGTTGTTTGTTTAGTGGACGCCTGTAGATGTCACATTGAACTGTATAAGAGTCATTCCCTAAATCAATGATGATCAAGTTTGTAATCCAAAATTCAATGGGTGACATATGCGTTAAATCTTTTGGCCCTGGAAATAATATTCTTATAGAACCCAATTGATACCTTGTCCTGGAATTTTTTTTTTTTTTTTAAGTCCTTGAAAAGTATATTTATAAAAAAATCAGATTAGAAGGTGCTAGAAAAATAATAAATTTTAAAAAATACACGTCTTTAAAAAAAAATTTCAAACTGTTGTTGGTCCTTAAAAATATTTTTAAAAGTCAACATTGATAGCTCGAAATGCTCTTAACAAAATCTTTTTGAAAAACCCACGTTAGAAGGTCCTTAAAATATTTTTAAAAAGTCCACATTGGAAGGTCCTTAAAATTCTTAAAAACAACTTTAAGAGCTTGGAGTTTCTTAAAGAAAAATCGCTAAAATGAAGTTATGATCTTGAATGGGTTTTAGAAAATATTTTTGAAAATTCCACGTTAGAAGGTCATTAAAATATTTTTAAAAAGTCCACATTGGAAGGTCCTTAAATTTCTTAAAAACGACTTTAAGAGCTTGGAGTTTCTTAAGAAAAATCCCTAAAATGAAGTTATGATCTTGAATGGGTTTTAAAAAATATTTTTAAAAAATCCACGTTATTGGCTTGGAAATTCTTAAAAAATATTTCTAAAAAATCCAAGTAAATGGCTTCAAAATTTGTTTTTAAAAAATCCACTAAAATGCACGTTGATCCTTGAAAAATATTTCGAGAAATCCTCGTTGATACTTGAAAAAAATATTTAAAAAAAACTACCTGGGAAGGTTGTTGAAAGAAAATATCTATAAAAAATCCAAGTTTAAAGCTTGGAAGGTTTAAAAAAAATCTTTTAGAAATCAACGTTTATAGCGTGGAAGGTTGTTGAAAAAGTTTTTAAAAAATCCACGTTTATAGCATGGAAGATCCTTGAAAAAATATTTTAAAAAAATCCAAGTTGATGACCTCGTTGGTCCATGAAAAAATATATTTTAACAATCCAAATGAATGGCTTAGAAAATATTTTTAAAAAAATCTAAATTGATAGCTTGGAAGGTCCTTGAAAAAATATTTTTAAAAAGTCCACGGACCCTACAAGGTCCTTGAAAAATATTTTTAAAAAATCCACTGACCCTACTAGGTTCTTGAAAGAAAACCTTTAAAAATCCACGTTGATGGCTTATAGGGTCCTTGAAAAATATTTTTAAAATCCACGGACTCTACAAGGTTCTTGAAAGAAAACCATTAAAATTCCACGTTGATGGCTTATAGGGTCCTTGAAAAATATTTTTAAAAAATCCACGGACCCTACAAGGTGCTTGAAAGAAAACCTTTAAAAATCCGCGTTGATGGCTTATAGGGTCCTTGAAAAATATTTTTCAAAAATCCATGGACCCTACAAGGTCCTTGAAAGCAAACCTTTAAAAATCCAGCTGATGGCTTGTAGTGTCCTTGAAAGAAAATAGTTTAAAAATCCACGCCGATGGCTTATAGGGTCCTTGAAAAAATTCTTTAAAAAATCCACGTTTATGGCTTATAGAGTCCTTGAAAAAAATTCTTTAAAAAATCCAATTTCATGTCTTTTAGGATCCTTGAAAAAATTCTTTAAAAAATCCAAGAATATGGCTTGTAGGGTCCTTGAAAAAAAAATTAAAAAAATCCATAATGATGGCTTGGAAGGTCCTTGAAAAAAAATTATTTAAAAAATCTACGTTTATGACTTTTAAAATTCTTCAAAAAATCCACGGTTATAGCTCGCAAAAAATATTCTCAAAAACTCCTTGAAAAAATTCTTTAAAAAAATTCAAGCTTATGGCTTGTAGGGTCCTTAAACAAAATTCTTTAAAAAATCCACGCTATAGCTTGGAAAGTCCTTGAAAAAATATTCTTAAAAACTCTTTGAAAAAATTCTTTAAAAAAATCCAAGTTTATGGCTTGTAGGGTCCTTGAAAAAAAAAGCCATGTTTATGGTTTGGAAGGTCCTTGAAGGAAAAGATTATTGAAAAAATTCTTTAAAAAAAAAACAAGTTTATGGCTTCTAGGGTCCTTGAAAAAAATTCTTCAAAAAATTATATATATTCAAAAAATATTATACATTGGAATGTCCTTAAAAAAATCAGCTTTATTGCTTGGAAGATCCTTGAACAAAAATTCTGAAAAAGTTTGCTGTTTGGAAGGTTATTTAAAGAAGTTCTTTTTAAAAAAGTCCTCGTTTATAGTTTAAAAGTTCCTCGAAAAGAAATATTTAAGATATCCACTTTTATAGCTTGGAAAGTACTTGAAAAAATATTCTTAAAAAATCACCGTTTAAAGCATAGAAGGTCCTTGAAAAAAATTCTTTAAAAAATCCATGTTGATAGCCAGAAGGTCCTTGAAAAAAAAATATTTATACCCTACAACACTATGTGTTGGGGGTATTATAAGTTTGATTGGGCCAGAATTTATGTAACACCTCGAAATATTGATTTCCCATATAGGAAAGTATATATGGATCTTCCTAGCTCGCCGAGCTGAGTCGATCTAGCTATGTATGTCCGTCCGTCCGTCTGTCCGTCTGTCCGTCTGTCCATGTTAATTTGTAATCACTCTACAGGTCGCAATTATGGTCCGATCTTCACGAAATTTAGAATGTAGGTGGGGCTAGGGTCAGAATAGAACCCTATTGCTTTTGGAGATGATCGCCAAATGTTTAGGGGTTGAAATGGACCAAATACTGAAAAAATGTCGGATTTTGCAGTAGCTATACAGGTCGCAATTATAGACCAATCAACGCGGAATTTCGCATGTAGCTAGAGTTTAGGGCGGGGAAGAAGCTTACCAATTTGGGTGGTCATCGGATAATATTTAGCGGGTAAAATAGACCATATCTTTTGTGTAGAAAAAATTCAAAATTTGTCATAAACCGCGAATATTTTAAATCCCGGCGAAATCACAAAGCCATGACAAGGTTACTTCTGATCTTTACATTGATGTTAACATCCAACAAATCGGATATATAGCAAAATATGTGCGATATATATGTCTATCAAAGAAGATATGCTTGAAAGATATCTTATATGCCGAGAACGGCTGAACTGATTTCGACAGTTCTCATTAATTCAGAATGGCCTCTTGGCAGGAAAGAAAAAACGTCTAAAAAAATCGCATAAAAATATCTCTCTAAAGATGAAAATATTGATTTTGTAAAATTTTCTCATATTTTTTCAATTTTGTCATATTTTTGGCATATTTTCATTTTGAATTAAACATTTGGTAATATTTCTACAGCTAACAAAACTAAGTAGCTAGGATATCAGGATATCATATACAGATCGCATTTATGGCCCGATCCTTACGAAATTTTGCATGGAGATAAGATGAGGGTCAGAATAAAAGCCTATTCTTTTTGGAGATGACCGCTATATATTTAGGGGTTGAAATGGACCAAAAAAATATTGGTTCCAGATCTAGGAAGACCATTTACGTGCAACATCTACCAATAAATTGGAAATGAGCAAATTAGTTTAAGTTGCTATTATTCGAAAATTAGAGAACGGAACCTGATGGTTTTCTTTTATTATTTGTCACAATATCTTGTGGAATTCTTTCGAGTATCTCGCCTATATAAACTGTATCGTTTATTACAGTGTTGTAGGGTATTCAACGGTCGGCCCCGCTCGACTGTAGCCTTTGCTTACTTGTTTTTTTTTAAATTTTTCTAAAAAATCCACTTTGGTAACCCGAACATTGATAGCTTGTGAGATCCAATCTAAAGAGAAAATCCCTTATGGAATGACTCATATATCTAATTATAATAGATGCATGACCCACCATTTATTATTTACATACAATATGTATATTAATTTGTATATAGTGTATAGAAATGACCAACGTCAACACTGCACACGCACACTCATACACATACACCCACCTACAATGAAAGTTGGTAATAGAAAAAAAGGAACAATTTAATTGTGTCCATCTGTCTGTCCGCTTGGCAGTCGGGTTAAAACGCATGTTACAAATAATTTTCTTAACATTGAAATTCCCATCGGTTCACACACACATACAGATAGTATTGGTTAGTTTTATGACGGCACTCCATTGAACTGACCACTTCGGCCAGCAGTTGGTGAGTAGTTGCGTTCCGTGTGTCGTGTTGCGCGGCAGTGAATTGTAATTATTTACTTAGTTCTTAACCATTAAAGTTGGACTTGACCTTTGAAAAAATCCAAATAACTCTATACATGGGTAACATTCGAAACATACACATGTCGCATACATACTTCGCTTAACTTTGGTTCTGTTAAAAATGAATATTAAAATATTTATTGATTTTTTATTTTTTGTACTTTTGAAAGGCAAGCTCTTATGTTCTAATTTTTGTTGCTGTATTTTTTTATAATTGCAGAATTGCCAGAAAATCATAAGATTACGCTCGCTCAGTGCTAAAACCGATCCCGCCGCTTTAGCACGCGAAGTTGTGGATAAATGCGATTTAATTCATAAATCACAATTGGCCGATGTAGAGCAGATAATATTTTATTTAAAACATCGCAAAGACAATGCCGGAGGAGGTGTGGGTGAGTATTTAATGAATTTTTTTTTTTTTTCGAATAACAACAGCAACTGTTTGATGTCGAAATTCAAATGATTTATGGCGTTAGTTGTGAAATATTGAAAATTATCCTTATTTGGTGGAGCGGTGAAATCGTTGTTCATGACTTTGTCAAAGAGCATGATAGTGGATTAGAAGATGAAAGATTTATGTTTCAATTGAAAAATTAAAACATACGAATACAGTGAAACCTCTTGTTAAAGAATGTTGAAAATGCCAACAACCATCTTCTACATATTCATGAGGGTTGGTGGCTCTTAATGCCTTACCCCCTGGCAAACATTTTTAAAAATGTTTTCTTTTAAAAATGTTTTCCTTTATTTTTTTTAAATGCATAAAAAATAAACCACTAAAATTCTTACAAATCAGATGGTTTAAAAAATAAATAAATAAAGAGGTCAGATTAAAGGTCAAATAGTACTGACATATCCATGTCCAAGGCGTTTAAGAAGTTTGAAAGTCAGCTTACGGTTTACTCTACTTCAAAAATGGCCCTTGAATAATAATCCTTGATTAAAAGCAGATAGTTCTTCCTCCTCAAAATCTACGCCTATCTAAACAAATAATCCTTACAAGGAATTAAAAATACTCCTAACCTAAACCTCAAAACCCTAAAAAATTCAATACAAAGGTCCTTGAAGATATATTTTTTAAAAATCTACCTTGGAAGGTCCTTAAACAAATATTATTTTTTCTAAATTCACGACGTAAGGCCCTTAAACAAATATTTTTTTTAAGAAATCCATGTTAGAAGGTCCTTAAATAAATATGTTTTCAAAATATACGTTGGAAGGTTCTTAAAAAAATATATTTTTTAAAAATCCATGTTGGAAGGCCATTAGAAATATTTTTAAAAATCCACATTGGAAGTTCCTTAAAAAATGTTTTTTTTTTAATTTCACGTTGGAAGGTCCTTAAAAAATATTTTTACAAAAAAATCCACGTCGGAAGGTCATTAAAAAACATTTTTTAAAAATCCATGTTAGAAGACCCTTAAAAAATATTTTTAAAAATCCACATTGGAAGGTCCTTAAAACAATATTTTTTTAAAAAATCCACATTGGAAGGTCCTCAAAAAATATTTGTTTTAAAAAATCAACGTTGGAAGAAACTTGAAAAAATAAAATAAAAAATCTATGTTGACAACATGGAAGGACAACTTGAAAAACCCTTAGAAAGAATATGGGAGCTCTATGATTTTTTTTTAAAAAGATCCACTTTGATGATGAGGAAAGTCCTTGGGAAAATCCGCATAACTTGGAAGGTCTTCGAAAATAAATTATATAAAGAATCCACGCATATAGCTTGGAATATCCTTGAAAAAATTATGTAAAGAATCCACGTATAAGGCTTAGAAGGTCCTTGAAAAAACCCTTTTAAAAATTCCACGTGCATAACTTGGAAGGTCCTTGAAAAATAATTATATAAAGAAACCATGTTTAAAGCTTAAAAGCTCCTTGAAAAATAATTAAAAAAAACACGTTTTAGCTTAGAAAGTCCTTGAATAAAATTTTGTAAGAAATCCACATTTAGAGCTGGAAGGTCCTTGAAAAAATTCTTTAAAAAATTAACGTTCATAGCTTGGAAGGAAAAAAAGTTCATATTTTCTCCCTAAGAAAGGCGAAGTTCAGATAGTCCTTCAAAAGTGCATACGAATCAAATTTTAATGGTAAGATAGGTTTTCTACAGAAATCCTCGGTTAATTGTCCGATAGTCCTTCCTTAAAAATCACACAAATCCACAAGTAAAAAGTCTTAAAATTCAAGACAAAAGATTAGATAGTCTTTCAAATATATCATAAAAGTGAACAATTAAAAGTCCTTCTAAAATATGAAGAAATCTGCATCTAGAAATATGTGAGATATTCTTTCCAAAGGATCTGAAAGCCAAAGACTAGTGCTTAGAAATAATCTTACCGGTTGTCAAAAAAATTTAAAAAAAAATCCACGTTTATGGCTTGCAGGGTACTTGAAAAAAATGGCTTAAAGGTCCTTAAAAAAATTCTTTAAAAAAATCCACGATGATGGCTTAGAGGTCCTTGAAAAAACTCTTTAAAAAATCCACATTTATGGCTTCTTTAAAAAAATCCAAGTTTGTGGCTTGCAGGGTCATATTCATATCATATCATATTATATCTTGGAAGGTCCTTAAAAAAATTCTTCTCTTAAAAAATTCTTTCAAAAATCAACGTTTATGGGTTGAAGGGTCCTTAAAGAATTATTTAAAAAAATCAGGTATATGACTTGTAGGGTCCTTAAAAAACATTCCTAAAACATCCAAGTTAATGGACCTAGAGTCCTTAAAAAAATTCTTTTAAAAATCCACGTTGATAACTTAAATGGTCCTTGGGAAAAATTTTTAAAAAGTCTATACCTTAGTTGGTTCTTTCACAGTTTGAATGAATAATCCGAATTCAGAACTCTTGAAATAAATGCTCGGACCCTTTAAAAGTATTTTTAAAAAGTCCGCTAATTTTAATCTACTGAGGCTATGGTCGGTCAAAAATGTTAAATTCGCTTAATTTAAATTTTATTGATTTCAATTATTAATTGTGTTTATTTTCATTTTCCAGATACTCATGACACCAACACCAAGGGACCACGTTCGGCAATAGCATCACATCGCAGCACAGTTAGACCACACACCACAATGAGCACCAGCATGTCCTCCTCAACACATTCAAAGTCATCCGATTCATCGGATGTCTCAATAAATCACATAGACGAATATGTTGAGCTGTTGTACGAAGATTTGAGCGAGCGTATACGAGGTTCGGCCATGATACTGCAGGTGGCAAGGAATCCAGACAATTTGGAAGAATTGGAAAAGAATGGTGAGTAGAAAAAATACAAATTTTCCTTTGAATTCTAAAATTAATTCGGTTTATATTATTTCAGAGGCTTGCCTGAGTGCTTTGTCACGCGTTTTGCGTGAAGATTGGCGCAAGAGTTTAGATTTATCCACAAATATTATTTATATATTCTTTTGCTTCTCTACCTATACGAAATTTCATCCCGTCATTGTCCAATATAAGGTGGGTTGTAATTTCAATACTCGATTTGTTTCAATTAATATTGTAATTGTTTTATTTCAGATCGGTTCATTATGCATGGATGTAATGGATTATGAATTGCGCCGTTACGAAAGCATGCGTAACGAATTGGATATCCGCAAGAATCCCGGAGGTTCAGCGCCTTTGTCTGCCAAAGCCAGTAAAGAGAAACTGAATAACAGCACTGATGATTTCCTAGATCTCATGAATGAGGAAAAACCAAAAGAGGTTGAATTTGGATGGCATCCAATTCTTACACGCCTTATTAATTAATGTGTTATTTACCTTTCCAGATGGAGCCCCCACGCCGCCGTATACCCGAACTGAAACAACGACCCAAATCGGGTAATTGGTCTAGTTTCCACAGCTCCATGTCTTCGTCGCTAATAAAAAGTCAAATATTAAATAGCAGCTATCACGAGGCTCTCTCGGCCGGAGCCCAAACACCCGACTCAGGTATCTCCACAAATGGTGACATGAAGGCCACCAGTAATGAGGCTCTCGATCGCAACGATCCCAAGGCAAAGAAGGAGGAAATTGAACGTCTGAACAAACAATTGAAATTATTTGCCAAAAAGCAGGAACAACTGCTGAGGGTAGCTTTCTATTTGCTGTTGAATATGGCCGAAAACGTGAAGCTGGAAGAGAAAATGCGACGCAAAAATATTGTTAAGATGTTGGTCAAGGCCTTGGATCGACAGAACATTGATCTCCTTATGTTGGTCACGACATTCCTTAAAAAGTTGTCCATTGTGGGCGACAACAAAGATGATATGAGCGAACTGAATATTGTGTCAAAATTACCGCGACTCTTCCAAAGTGGTCATACAGATCTGGTACAGGTTACGCTGAAACTGGTTTTCAATCTCTCCTTTGATGGTCAGCTAAGAAGGAAAATGATTGTGGCCGGTTATCTGCCCATGTTGGTGATGTTCATTAATGATGAGAAACATCATAGCATTGCGGTGAAGATTCTCTATCACATGAGTTTGGATGATAAGGTAGAGTGTATCCATTTCCATACAAAAAATCAGAAATCAATTAATAATTTTTATTTCCCTCCAGGTCAAGGCCATGTTCACCCACACCGAATGTGTCCAGATGGCCACAGATGCCATAATTCTAAATCTCAATTCCAAAGTGGATCTGGATTTAATTGCCTTGTGCATAAATCTCTCCCTGAATCGTCGCAATGCCCAAATCATGGTGGAAGGCAATCGCCTGCACAGCCTCATGGATCGAGCTTTCAAATACCAGGATGCATTACTAATGAAACTCCTAAGGAATTTATCCCAACATGAATCGCTGCAGCCATTGTTCATTGATTATGTTGGCGATTTGGCCCGGGTGCTGACCATTTGTGAAGATGAAGTTTTCCTTGTGGAGTGTTTGGGTATTTTGGGTAACCTCTCCCTGCCCGATTTGGATTACTCGCAAATCTTGCAAAATTTCCAATTAATACCCTGGATAAGAAGCATCTTGGTACCAGGTGCCAAATTGGATGATTTAGTCTTGGACACCATTGTCTATTTGGGCACCTGCGCCCATGATGAGCTATGCGCTCTGCTCTTCTGTCGTGCAAATGTGGTTTTATCTCTGATTGAGCTACTCAAGGCCAAACAAGAGGATGATGAAATAGTTCTACAAATCATTTTTGTGTTCCAACAAATTCTACGCCATGAAAGTACCCGCGAATACATGATCAAGGAAACGGAATCACCAGCCTATCTCATCGATTTGATGCATGATAAAAATGCCGAAATTCGTAAAATATGCGATTATTGTTTGGACATCATTGCCATCAGCGATAATGAGTGGGCCAAGCGCATCAAGGTAAGTGGTGGTCAGCATGCTGATAAGGAAACTAATATCATAAGATCTCGAGCACAATACTCCACCAAATACCACCGCTAAAAATTGTGATATGTCCAGCAAAAATAATACTAAAATTTCTTCATGGCAACATTTACTCCTGCGGAATTCTTAAAGGAAGTAGAAGATTTCTGGCAATTCAGTCATTGTCTTATTGTTCCACAATGCTGTAAATTGTCTTCAATTTGAACACCTTCTTCTTTTTCAGCACCTAATTGTAATTTTTTTGTTTTCTGTCTGATCTCTCCATTGTGGTCTGTCCAATTAAATTTGTAATTAATGCACCAATCTATGTCTCTTCAGCTCCACACTTTATTCGTGCTATTTTTTGAGCAAATATTCTATGACACATAACTTTTCCTTAAATTCTTCTTGAACGGAATTATTAAAAATATCCCTAAAAATGCTTATCTTGTCCTTGACCAAGTATTCTCCAGAAATATTCTTGAAAAATCTGTGTTAATGTCTCCATAAGCTATTGAAAAATATTCTATAAAGACAATCCTTGAAAACAAATTTTATAAGAAATCGTCAATCGCTAGATAGTCCTTAAAAACAATATTAAAAAATCCAGAACAAAAGCTTGAATGGTCCTTGAAAGAATAAAATCTCTGTAAATCGTTTTAAAAAATATTTTTAAAAAATCCAGGTCAGTAGCTTTTGAATGGTCCTTCAAAAAATATGTCCTAAAAATCTCTGTCCATAGTTTGGATTTTTTTTAAATCCAGGTCACTAGATTGATTGGTCCTTCAATAAATATTTTTAAAAAATCTCTATCCATATCCCTATAAATCCGGGGATCACTAGCTTGAATGATCCTTGAAAAATATTCTAAAAATCTCTGTCAATAGTTGGAAAAATATTTTCAAAATATACAATTTAGTAGCTTTAAGGGTCCTTGAAAAATATTCCTAAAAAATCTCTGTCCATAGTTTGGAAAAATATTTTTAAAGAATGAAGGAATGAATGTTCCTTCAAAAAGTATTCCTAAGAGATCTCTGTCAATAGTTTGGAAAAATATGTTCAAAAAGTCGAAGTCCGTCGCTCTAATGGCCCTTCAAAAATATTTCCAAAAATTTCTGTCAATAGTTTGAAAAAATATTTCTAAAAAAATCCACGTTTTTTGACTTGGATGGTCCTTGAAAAATATTTCTAAAAAATTCAAGTTTTTTGTCTTGGATGGTCCTTAAAAAAATATTTCTAAAACTCCACGTTTTTTGACTTGGATGGTCCTTGAAAAAATATTTCTAAAAATCCAAGTTTTTGACTTGGATGGTCCTAGAAAAAATATTTTTAAAAAATCCTCGATGATGACAGGGAAAGTCCTTGTACAAATATTTTTAAAAAATCTACGTTAATGGCTTTGGTAAATATATTTAAAAAAAATATATTTTAAAAATATATTTAAAAAAATCAGGTTTATGACATTGATAAGCCTTGAAAAAATATTTTTAAAAAATCCAGGTTTATGGCTTTGATGAGCCTTGAAAAAATATTTTTTTTAAAAAAATCCGGGTTTTTGACTTGGATGATCCTTAAAAAAATCTTCGTTGTTGACTTGGATGGTCCTTGATAAATATTTTTAAAAAATCTACGTTGTTGATTTGAATGATCCTTGGAAAAATATTTTTAAAAAATCCAAGTTTCTTGACTTTATTGATCCTTAAAAAATCTTCGTTGTTGGCTGGTCCTTGATTTTTTTTTTTGAATCCACGTTGTTCACTTGAATAGTCCTTAAAACAAATCTAGGATTTTAAACTGAAGATCCTTAAAAAAATACACATTGCTGACTTGGTGGTCCTTAAAAAATATTTTTAAAAAAATCCTTGAAAAAATATTCTTAACAAAGCTCACAGCTTAAATTGTCCTTGAAAAAATTGTCCATGTTGATGACTTGGATTGTCCTTGTTCTTGACTTTATTGATCCTTAAATAATCTTCGTTGTTGGCTGGTCCTTGAATTTTTTTTTGAATCCACGTTATTCACTTGGATTGTCCTTAAAACAAATCTAGGATTTTAAACTGGAGATCCTTGAAAAAATCCACATTGCTGACTTGGTTGGCCCTTAAAAAAATATTCTTAATAAAATCCTTGTAAAAATATTCTTAACAAAATTCGGGGTTACAGCTTAAATTGTCCTTGAAAAAATTGTCCATGTTGATGACTTGGATTGTCCTTGTTCTTGACTTTATTGATCCTTAAAAAATCTACGTTGTTGGCTGGTCCTAGATTTTTTTTTTTAAATCCACGTTATTCACTTGAATAGTCTTAAAACAAATCTAGGATTTTAAACTGGAGATCCTTAAAAAAATCCACATTGCTGACTTGGTTGGTCCTTAAAAAAATATTTTTTAAAAAATCCTTGAAAAATATTCTTAACAAAATTCGGGATCACAGCTTAAATTGTCCCTGAAAAAATTGTCCATGTTGATGACTTGGATTGTCCTTGAAAAAGTATTTTTAACAAAAGTATATTAAAATCCTTTTTAAAGGCCTTGGTAAAAGGTCTTAAAAAATCTACGTCTTGAGCTTGGATGGTCTTTGAGAAAAATGTTCTTAGAAAATACAGGTTTAGAGCTTGGATCCAGGTTTAGAGTTTGGTCCTTAAAAAAGGTTTTAAAAAATGGTCGTTGAAAAAATCTTTAAAAATCCACATTTAGAGCTTGGTTGGTCCTTAAGAAAAACAAATTTAAAAATCCTTGAAAAAAATCCACGTTTTAGCTTAGATGATCTTTAAAGAAAAAATCTTAAAAAGTCCACGTTTATATCTTGAATGGTCCTTGAAGAAAAAAAACTTAAAAAGTCCACGTTTATAGCTTGGGTGGTCCCTGAAGAAAAGTTTTCAAAAAGTTCACGTTCATCCAAGCTATAGATCCTTGAAGAAATAATCGTAAAAAGTCCACGTTTATAGCTTGGATGGTCCTTGTGGAAAAAATCTTAAAAGTCCACTTTTATAGCTTTAATGGTCCTTGAACTTTAGAAAAAAAAAGTCGAAGATTATAGCTTCAAAGGACCTTGAACAATTTAAAGCATGGCTGAGCCTAAAATATTTTTAATAAATCCACGTTTTTAGCTCAAATTGTCCTTGAAAAAAAATCACATTAAGAGCTCGGATGGCATTTGAAAAAATAATCCTAAAAAACTCATGTGTAAGTGTTTTTAGGAGAAAAAATCTAAAAACAATCCTTGAGAAAAAATCTTTAAAAATTCTCGTTTGGAGCTAGGATGGTCCGTCAGAAAACCCCTTAAAAAATCTCTCGAAATTAAGGTTTATAGCTAGAATTATACTTCTTAAAAAATTTTAAAAAATCAAAATTTAGAGCTAGGATGGTCCTTAAGAAAAAAATCTTAAAAAATCCAGGTTTAAAGATTGGGCGCTCTTCAAAATCACGGTAAAAGCTCTGATGGTCTTTGAAAAATTTAAGGTAATGGCTGAGATAGTTCTTCAAAAAAAAAAGTTAAAATGTTCAACGTTATACCTCTGCTAATCCTTGAAAAATATTCTTAGAATAGCCAAATTATTTCTCCAATGCTCCTTAATTTTTTTATTTTAATTCACCCTTTAATTTTCTCTCAGCACAACCTATGTGTCTTCTTTCCTGCGTCTTATATCGGCATACCATTTTTTAACGTCCTTTGCTCTCAGCTTCTGCATGTATACGTTTGCAAGACTCATACTTCGTCCATACAACTTCTCAAAATGTGCCAATGTGCCTGTGATTTTTACAACAACAAACAAAAACCAACAAACGATTCCTTTTTTCTTTGCATTTTTCTGTATTTTCCAAAATTTCTAGCTGGAAAAATTCCGCAACCACAACTCACAATGGTTGAGTATGGTGGAGTCACAACTGCAAGACAATGATCAAATTTCATCTGTTTAAACCACAAAAAAATCTCTGTTTTTTCTGTTCTCTTTTTTTCATTTCAATACGATGATTGTTTGTTTTGTGAAATTGAATTGGAAATGGAATTCGAATTTGTGTGTGTGCGCGCAGTTGGAGAAATTCCGTAACCACAATTCGCAATGGTTATGCATGGTGGAATCCCAGCAGCATGAAGACAATAATGAGGACTACCAGGATGAGGAGGAGGAAGAGCATGATTTGGACAATTATTTGCGTGGTGAATATTTAGATAATTGCGATCTCTACAATAGCAACAATACCCAAAAGGAATCCGAAGATACGGAAATGGAGAGTAACAACAATAGCAACAATCCAGCTAGTCCCGCCAATTCTAGTTATAGTCGTCCAGTAAGTAGGTAAGTATGGAATTGAATATTATAAATATAAAAGTGGTACAACGGGGAAAATCATAAAAATACCGAATATAAGAGGTACCATTATATGGGGGCTATACCAAAACGTGGACGTGCACAGACAATTTTCTGGCATAGACTGCAGTGTCCATTACGAACTTTAAATACCAAATTTGAAACAATTCTGGTGAATAATGTCGCTAAAATCATCAAAATACCGAATATGGGGAGGTGGCGTTATATGGGGGCTATACCAAGACGTGGACGTGCACAGACAATTTTCTGCCTTAGGCTGTAGTATCCATTACGAGCTTCAAATACTTAATTTGAAATAATTCCGGTGATTAATGTCGCTCAGGATGTACCATTATATGGGGGCTTTACAATGGCCTGTACCTGCATAGACAATTTTCTGTCCTAGGCTGTAGTATCAATTACGAACTTCAACTGCCAAATTTGAAACAATTCCGGTGAATAATGTAGCTAAAATCAGCAAAATACCGAATATCGTTATATGGGAGTTATACGATGACGTGGACCTGCACAGGCAATTTTCTGTCATAAGCTGTAGTATCAATTACGAACTTCAAATACCAAATTTGAAACAATTCTGGTGAATAATGTCGCTAAAATCATCAAAATACCGAATATGGGGAGGTGGCGTTATATGGGGGCTATACCAAGACGTGGACGTGCACAGACAATTTTCTGCCTTAGGCTGTAGTATCCATTACGAGCTTCAAATACTTAATTTGAAATAATTCCGGTGATTAATGTCGCTCAGGATGTACCATTATATGGGGGCTTTACAATGGCCTGTACCTGCATAGACAATTTTCTGTCCTAGGCTGTAGTATCAATTACGAACTTCAACTGCCAAATTTGAAACAATTCCGGTGAATAATGTAGCTAAAATCAGCAAAATACCGAATATCGTTATATGGGAGTTATACGATGACGTGGACCTGCACAGGCAATTTTCTGTCATAAGCTGTAGTATCAATTACGAACTTCAAATACCAAATTTAAAACAATTTCTTGGAATAATGTCGCTAAAATCGTCAAAATACCGACTATGGGAAGGTGGCGTTATATGGGGGCTATACCAAGACGTGGACGTGCACAGACAATTTTCTGGTATAGGCTGCAGTGTCCATTACGAACTTCAAATACCAAATTTGAAACAATCCCACTGAATAATGTCGCTATAATCATCAAAATACCGAAAATGGGAGGTGTCGTTATATGGAGGCTATACGAAGACGTGGACCTACACAGACAATTTTCTATCTAAGGCTGTAGTATCCATTACGAACTTCAAATACCAAATTTGAAACAATTCTGGTGAACAGTGTCGCTAAAATCATCGAAGTACCGAATATCGGGAGGTACCGTTATATGGGGGCTATGCCAAAACGTGAACCTACATGGCCCATTTTCAATACAAAATATACATTTTCAATACATAATATACATTTGAGTAAAATTTTATCAATCTACTTCATTTCGTTCGGAAGCTAGAGTGATTTCCACAGACGGACATTGAAAGATATTTTTTTAAGTAGGTCAAGCCAAGCTTGTCCTTATCCCGGTTGTACCATTTTTCTATTTTTAAAATTCTCTTTCTAATCTCTCTCTCTTTATATCAGTTTCAGACGCAGCCAAGATTTGGATGACATTTACAACATGTCATTGAGTACCAAATCGCAGGGTTCCAGTCAAGGCGACTCTACCAGCAATTATCTATTCAAATCAAATAAATCCCTCGATTCGGAGAGCTTACATGAAGAGCTTCTACTGGCTTAAGGCATTTTTATATACAGCTGCTATAATGATGACATTTTCAATTGAAACGCTTAGTAATTTCAAAATCTGTGCTTTCAATCCGACAAAGATCTGCAAAAAAAAAAAAAAGAATAGCGCTTACAAGGAAAAAATAATAATAATTTGAAAGTAACCAAAAAAACCCTGATGAAGACGAAAAAAGGCATTTAAAAGATAAAATAGTAATTTGTTTATGTGTGTGTATGTATGTATGGATGTGTAAACAAAACATATTTGCATTTTAAGTAATTTAATTTATTTAGTTGTTCTATCTACTTTACGAAATTAGAACAAAGCTTTGTTGCTTTAGCTCTCTCCCTCTCTCTCTATCTTTCTCTCTTGGTTATGGATCAGTAGAGAGGAAACTGTAGCACTGAAGATATCTATGAAATGTTCAATTAGGCAGTTTGATTTAACGTTTAAACCATATTTCAATAATATAATAATATTTATGAGAAAAATCCAGCAGATTTTAAAATTAGATTTAAAAAGAAGACATGTGTCTCGGTGTTTTGAAAAAGTAACCAAAATAGTGAGGAAAAATCCCCCAACTCTCCAACACTTTTTCAAGTTTTTGGATTAGGATTCCTCGGAATCCGTGCATTTTATGTATATAGTGTCTTCGGCAATATTGCAGATAAGAATACATGGAATATTTTGCCCAGACATTTTAACCCTCAAGCCTTTCAAGAAAGGGCCCTTTTTGGTCCTTTTTTTAAATATGATTAAAAACGTTCTTTAAACGTTATCGTAGCAAGACAAAATATTCTACAATATTACTTGTAATAAAATTCGACCATAGGTCCTAGAAGACGTCAAGAGTCTAAATCTTACCTAAACGCCAGGAATTCAAATATATTTAAAAATACATTTTAGGGTTAAAGGAGTACTCTTTGTGATTTTATGCAAAAATCTCCCATGAACCCTCATTTTAGGAGGATGATGTAAAAGACAAAAATATTCTTCATCAAATTTTACTATAAGTCTCAAAAAAAAATCTCCATTTCCACCTTAAGTCTAAAACTGTTTGCATTAATGTTCCCAAAGAAACTGAAAATATTCCTTAATTTTTTGGAACCATTTTTCCTGGACTTTTTTCGAATTGCTCCTGAAAATAACATAAAATTCCGTTTTAGGCGGAAAGTGTTAAAAGAAGAAATGTTCTACACAAAATTTCACTACAAATCTCAGAATAAACCATATGTCTAGGTACAATGGTTTCTATTAAAATTGCATTCAAAATGTATGTACTAAAAGTGAAAATAACTTCGTTTTTTTTGTGTACTGTTAATTAAAAATGTATCCACCCTGAGGCCAAATTTTCCCCTAATACTACATTTTTTGAGGAAAGTTCCAAAGTAAAAATTATTCTAGATCAAATTTCATTATGAGTCTCTGAACAAAAGAAATCTCTATTTCCACTTAATGTCAAAAAAAAAAATAGTTCCCAAAAACCCGAAAATATTCCTTAATTTTTTGGAACAAATGATCCCTGGGCTATTTTCGAATTGACTCTTGAAAATAACACAAAATTTCGTTTTAGGCGGAAGGTGTTAAAAGAAAAAATGTGCTACACAAAATTTCACTATACTACTGTATAAAAGTTTATATGAAAATTGCATTCAAATTGTATGAAAAACGTGAAAATCATGTCTTTGCTTTTTTGTACTGTTAATTTAACACGTATCCAAGTGGAGGTCAAATGTTCCCTTTATACTTCGTTTTTTGGGGAAGGTATCAAAGTAAGAATGATTCTAGATCAAATTTCATTATGAGTCTCTGAATGAAACAAATTTGTTTATTTAATATAAACCATACAAAATAGCAAAAAAATGTTGTTTATTTCTAATAAAATTTTCTTATAATGTCACTGCACAATTTGTGGAAAATTCCAGGTGGAATCAATAGTATTCGTTTATAGATCAAAACCTCAAAGGAGTCCTGGCTTGTTTGGCAAAATGTTGCTTAGGTACCTTATATAGTTTTGACCTCATAAAAATAGACCTCTATGGTTTGAGATATTTCTCTTAACATTTAGGACTAAGCGTTGGCAAGGAAAATGGGCCATATCGGTCCACTTTTTGGAATAGTCCTCTCGTAAGGATAATTCCGATTTCAAATATATTTTACAATTAGGCCATGTTTTCCTTTTAACGTTGCTATTGTTACAAAAAAACTTATGATGATGACCCCCGATTTTAGTTATTGAAAGTATCTGGGTTACATTTTCCCATCGTTTAGAATATTTTGACTTTTTTACCATATTTAAAAAAGGACTAAAATGATTCCGTTTTTGACTCGTTTGGGGCCTATTTTTTTAAAAAATTTACATAAAATGCATAGATTCCGAAACAGTTTTCATTTCAAACATTAAGTAATGGTCTCACATTATGGTTTCAATAATGAAAACCTAATATTCAAATCGCCCCCAAAAATATTTTCAGAACTGCTCCTCGCTATGTTTTTCTCAACACCTGATCCATAACAAACCATAGAAAAATATTCATAGAATTAGTGACATACTTAGCTTGGCGCACAGAAACCGAAAATTTATAGACGTTTTTTTTTTTTTGTTATCATATGTTATAAATGACTTTAATTTAATAATTATATATACTTATATTTGATATATGCATTAATAAGAAGGTTATCCGTTTTGAAAAAAATAAAATCCAAAAAGACCAGAGCCTGGGGAAAAAATATGAAATCAATCAATTCAGAAGTTAATATACAGGGTGAGATAAAAAAAACTGCAACAAAGTCAAACGCCATCATTTTTATATTTTTTTAATTATATTGAATGAAAGCAAAAAATGTCAGAAATAGCATCAAATTTTAGAAGAAGTTTAGATTTGTTCGAATTGGTCATCGTTGGCACGAATTATGGCCTTCAAACGGCCAAGGAAACCGCCTCACGCTGCCCGAATGTTGCTTGAGGTGATCGACACTTTGGTATTTTTTTAGTACCAAACTTGCTTTCCAAAATACTCCAGACACAATAGTCCAACGGATTGGTATCCGGAAAATTTGGTGGCTATTGTGCGCTGGAACTTTCCCTCGTTCCAGCGCACAATAGCCACAATAGCTCATTTTGTAACCATTCTTGGGTGGCGCGTACTGAGTTCTGTTGGAATGTCCAAGGCTTTAATACAGCCTCCAGAATAATATTCGGAATTTATTCTGAGGCCACGGTCGATTAATACGAGCGGAGAGCGACCATCGGTATCATAACCGTCGCTTGAGTACCAGTATCACGGTTTGACATTGAGCCACTTGAGAAATCACACTATCTCGCTGAAACTCCATCACGAATAACTTTTTTTCTGAAAAATTCTCACCAAAATGCTTTCGTACGCTTGTAAACAATATAATAAGCTGTCACTGGAATAATTTCAACAGCTGTCGGGCGAGTGACTTAGAAATGACAGCAGTCTGAAGTTGGTTGCAGTTGTAGTCATCTCACCCTGTATATCTTTCTATTCCTGAAGCTCTATGTTTTTTTTTTTTTTTTGAAAATTTCTCAAAAAAAAAATTAAAAGAAAATTCAAAATGGAAAAACCTTAATATAAGTAAGAACAAGAATAAGAAAATAAACTACCAAAACGAAGCTAGTCCATGTTTTATAACTCATATGTATACAATAGAGAAGCAAAAGAACCGAATGAACAAACCGAAACAAATCAAAACAAACAAAACCCTTGACCTTAAGGCCCAAAAATCGAATAAAAACAAGTTATTGTTTATTTAATTAATAACTTAAGTTGATTACTTTAGAAGTTTGTTTATGTTATATATTTAGTTTTATGATATTTTTTTGTTTAATAAAATTATATGTGATATTACAACTTTCCTTTTTTTTGAAAAAAAAAAACAAAAAACATATAAAAATAAACAAAAAACAAAATAAAAAAGAAACGAACAAATCATGCTCTAGCAAAATCAAATGCAAAAGAAAAATAAAACGAGATAAAAAACGACCAGTTAATTTATTTATAAAACGAAAAAACATGTGTCATTTTTATTTTAAATTAATTTTTATTTTATTTTCTGCTTTTGTTTAAAATTTTCAATGAAATGTAGTCTGTTTAAGATGTTTTCTTTCTCTTTTTTTAATTTTAAGCAACTAATACCAAAATGTGTTTTATATATATATATATATATATATATATATATATATATATATATATATATATATATATATATATATATATATATATATATATATATATATATATATATATATATATATATATATATATATATATATATATATATATATATATATATATATATATATATATATATATATATATGTATATTATTTTTAATTATCTTTAATTAATTTTATTTTTTTTTTTGTTTTGAATTTAGTTGAATTGAATTTTTGTTTTCAAATAGCAAAACGAAATGTAACGTACAAATCCTTAAGAAATTATCCTTCCCCCCCAACATGTTCACTTCTTTAAAGGCGAATTACCGTTACAAGCTTTCAATATATATAAAAAGATAATGTAATACTTTGTAACAAAATCTTCTAAGAGATTACTTAATAAAACAAAAACAATCAAAAATGATTATAAAAATATAATTTTGTTTTTTTATCCTTTCCTTGTAAAAACTTATTATGTTTGGCAACCCTAGTGAGATGACAATCCTTAGGTGAAGTCATAGTAGAAGAATATAGGTAGACGCATCGTAGCGGCTGCTGGGACAATGAACTGTCAAACCAATTTTGGAATTGAAAATGTTGAATGAAAATTTATTTAAATTTGTAAAAATTATAATAACCTCCGAATGACGTCATATAAGAAATCATATAAAATATATTTAAATTTGAAAAAACATTGAAATGTTTGAAATGTGTTTCCAAGCTTTTATACTTCTACCTGTTTTCTTCTACCATAGGTGAAGGTGAATTTCTATCACTTTGTATTTCAATATTTTCAATAAGAGTACACTGGGCAATACAAAACAAGTTAAAAAGCAGTAAGTTCCGGGTCGAACTTTTAATACCCTCCACCATTTGCAACGAATTTGGAAATTTTTAAAAAATAAAATCCTTAAAAAATTCTGTTAACATTTTAAAAATACCGAATATAGCCGTTATATTGGGGTCTATACGACGTGGACATACATAGGCATTGTTTGTCATAAGCCATTACCATATTCAAATTCGAAACTTGAAATAAACAGTGAATAATGTAGCTAAAATCATCAAAATATCGTATATAAGGAGGTGCCGTTATATCGGAGCTGTGCGAAGACCTGGACCAGCATAGACAATTTTCTGTAACAGGCTGTAGCATCCATTACGAACTTCAAATACCAATTTTGAAACAATTCCGGTGAATAATGTTGCTAAAATCATCAAAATACCGAATGTAGGGAGGTACCGTTATATGGGGGCTATATGAAGACGTGGACCTGCACAGAACATTTTCTGTCTTAGGGTGTAGTATTTCTTGGAATCATTACATTTTACATATCTATTGTCTTTGGCAATATTACAGATAACAGGGCGAGGATTATTTTCGCCAACAATTTTAACCCTCAAGCGAGTACATATTTCTTTGTCGTAAAATTCTACTATGGGTCCCAGAAGACATCAAAAGACAAAATCTTACCTAAACACCGGGAATTCGTAAATATATTAAAATTACATTTTTAGGGTTAAAACTGTACTTTATGTGGGTTTATGCAAAATTCTCCATCAAAGCATCATTTTTAAAGGATGATGTTAAAGACAAAATTCTTCTTCATCGAATTTCACTATAAGTCAACAAAGGAAAGAAATTCCAATTTCCATTATATATCAAGGAAATACCTGCATTAATGTTGCAAAAAAAAAACGAAAATGTTTCCTATTTTTTTGATTATTTTTTACTCGCACATTTTTCGAGTTGAGGCATGAAATTGGCATAAAATTTCATATTAGACAAAAAGTGTTAAAAGAAGAAATATTCTATACGAAAATTCACTATTATTCTTAGAATAAACCATATATCAAGGTTTAATAGTTTAAAAGAAATTTACATTCGAAAATTTATATATTGCAAGTAAAAATGATGTGTTTACGATTTTTACTACATGTTACCATTCTTAGTTAAATCGCCTGTAATTCTAAATTTTTTTAGGAAAATGTCAAAGGAAGAAATATTTAAAAATTACATTCGAAATTTTATATATTACCACTGAAAATTACGTGTCTACTTTTTTTTACTGAACGTTTCCATTCTAAACCAAAATCTCCCCTTATACTTCATTTTTTGAGAAAATTGTCGAAGGAAAGAATTCAAAATCGAATTTCAATATGATTCTCAAAACAAAAGAAATTTGTACATTCAAAAATTCGAAAAATTTTACACTTTTTCCGAATTCGCTGAAGATTTTCTTATAATTTCCCTATCCAATGTCAAAGAAGGAAATATTCGGGATCGAATTTCGATTTATTAAAAATCTTTTTTCTTTTCGACAAATTTAGGACTTTCTCGAATTCGCAGCAAATGTTCTTAAAATTTCTAATGTGAGTCTCCGAACAAAAAAAGTTGTACACAAAACATGTATCATCAAAAAAATCATCTTTTTTGTTTATTAAAAACCAACCATTAAGCCGTCGGAGAAACTTCTGCGTCATAGTCACATATATTCGAGTCAACCACCTGATGGGCAATGTAAAAAACTTGTTATCTTTCAAAACCCTTAGAAACATTCCTTCCGTGTATAAGTGACCATTATGATTTCTAAATTTTAGAAATCGAGATGATGTCTCATTAAATTGCTTTCCTTTATCGTCAGTGTTACAAAGTATTACAAAATATACAAACTTTCAAAAAAATACTTTATCATCCCTTTAACATGATTATTTTAAAATCCTTAGCTTGTTAAATATAAAACTAGAAAAATCACCATTACCATAAGAAAATGTTCTCCTACTCCTCTAAAGAAGATTCATAATTTTTTACCTTAAACCCAACATAATACCTTTTCTAAATTCCAAATAAAAATGGATTACTTTAAATATTGAAAAAAAAAATCTATTAAAAACATAAAATTTTTAATGGCATATACAATAAATTATAATATATTTCCCAATACCAAAAGACCATAAAAAAGAAAAATAATCTAAAAAAATTATTAAAAACTGAAATCTTGCCTCCTGTTACGTAGAAAAAGAAATAGAAATGACAAACTAAATTATATGTATGATGATGGCTATGTACGCCACAAAAATAAAATATAAATATATATTGAAATAAATATTATATACAAAAAAATAAAACAAAAAAACGTGTACTTGTGTTTCATTTAATAGTGGTGGAAGCGTCAATTGTCAATTTTTCAAAATATGGTTAAAAATTCCCTTTAAAAGGCATCATACGCAATCGAAATATTTCTACAAAATTACTTGTTTTAAAATTCTACTATAGGTCTCAGAATGCATCAAAGCTTTAAAACTTAACCAATATGCCAGGATTTTTTACAACTTTTAAAACACAGGCTTAAAACGGTATTTCATTTCCTTTCGAATAATTCGTAATTCACCTATTCACCCAATAACTCAGACCAAATTTATTTTTTATGAACATTTCTCTTATTGACATACGAATTTTAAGTGAAATTTTTCTTTTTCAATTTTTTTTATTGATTTAAAACATGTGTTTCAATAGATGGCGCTAAAAACACGTCAATGTCAGTGTTACCCGTTTTAACGTTCATTGTGTAGTTAACCAATTATTGAGCATACTTTCAGGCGCAAATGAAAATGTTCTTTAAATGCATATTATTCACGTTGAATAAATTGAATTTCATTGTTAAAAAAACATTTCATCTAAATAAGTTTTCATTATTCAATTAATAATAAATTGGATTTTTAAAAAAACACAACGGTACTTAATTTCATTCAATTGTTTTTGAAGACTAGAAATCCTTTTTAATGGTAAATCAAACACATTGCAGTTAAATTCATTTTTTCATTTTTATTATTTTTCAATATTTAAATTTCATGTAAAGGTTTTGAATAAAAAACGTTTCATTTGAATACAAACAAATTACTGTTTAGATGTTACGATGTGATGATTTTTCCAAAACACGCCACACAAATAATACAAATATTCAATTCAAACTTGCAATTTGGAAATAGTTGACCAAAAACTACAAATTTCAATTAGCCAATTTTAATTCTTGTTTTTCGTATTTTTCTTTTATTTATGCTTTATGATGGTGATAATGGCCCTGCCACAAATATATAAAAATATAAAAAAAAAACTAAATATTTATTTTCCTATGTTTCTATAGACTGATAACAATGAAGAAAAAAATTAAAATAAAATAAACTTTTACAATAGAAAACATGTGTTGCCATTTGATGGTAGTACTTTTATGAAACACATTGTTTTTTATAAATAATTCTATAACAAAAAAACTTAAACAATTATTTCAGCAGTGTGTTAGTAAAAAAAGTTGTATAAAATAAAATATTTCTATAAAACAAATGGGGTCTTAAAAAATAGAATACATTAAGTGTTGTATATAAAAGCAGCAGTTTTAGTTTAACATTGAATTTAATTCTTGTGGTCTAGACAGAGAAGGTCTTAAGAAAACAAAAGCAAGAGATTCATTAAGAATACTATTAATTTCTTAGTTTTAATTTTATAAAAGGTTTTCTTTAAGAAATTCAAATGTTGATAGCATGAAATTCATTAAACATATTTACATAAGATTAATTATTTGCGTAAATTTTTAAGGAGATTTTTGTTTCTGAATAATTTTCCAAACTACAATTTATGATTGTTATTGTTGGATTATTTGAAAAAGTATAAAAAAGTTAAACTACATTATTTTTAAATATTGCATATTGTGTTAATACATAAATTTATATGTTTGTTTAGATTTTTTACGCACTTTCACCCCAATAGAATTCATCACGTTCCTGTGGCACATAAAATGCCGCACACGTACATTCCCACACTTCTTTGGGATATTCCCATTCGACGTTGTATGACCACTGTTTTGTTTCCAAGTCATAACATTGCACAGCAGATGTGGCCCGATTAATTGTGGCCGACGACAGTAGACCTCCTATGAAATAAATGCGTTTCTTTACGGCTGCAACACCGGTGTAATATTTTGGCATTGGATTTGTTGACTCTGTGGACCATGTATCTGTGGCAATGTCATAGACATCTATGGTTTCGGCCAAGACACGAGTCTCCGTTACACTATCTTCATACCATCCACCGCAGGCATATATTCTTCCATCCAAAGCTATGAGTATGTGATCGGCCCTGGGTGTGGGCATTTGGCACAGTTTAATCCATTTTTCAGTCGTGGTATCGAAACACCATAGAGATGCTAAGACCAAATGGCGATCTATGCCTCCTGTAAATAAACAGATATTTTACAAGTCTATTAAACATTTCATGAATATTCTTGCATGAACTCCATAGGTAAAAGCATGGGCCTTAAACCACACATCATTAAATGGGTGTATGTGTCAATTGTTTGCCCCATCCTATCCTATGGAGCTCTAGTCTCGCGGCATTCCTTGAAGAAGTCATCATACTTAAGTCACATTGACAAATTTCTAAGAGCCGCACCCCTACTAATAACGGGTGACTTCAAGAGCACACCTCAAGCTGCACTGGACACCCTACAGTGCCTAAACCCACTAAGTATACACGGAACAGGCAATTAGGTGTGCTCTTCGACACAGAGAACAAGATTATGGCGCAGCCAATCCTTTGGACATTCTGCGATCTTAGGTCGTGTAAGAAATTTGGGAGTGGAAGCCAACACAAATGATTATATTTCATTCCGGTTGAGCTTTGATCCAACTGACATCCACAAACCTGACAGCGACGCCTGGGCCCATAGTAATCCACCTTTCCGCGGCATAGCTGTTTATACCAACGGCTCAAAGATGAAATATGGAACGGGAGCTGGCGTCTTCTGTGACCCTCTTAAATTTCGCGAATCCTACAAGCTTAGAAACGGCTGAAGCGTATTTCAGGCGGAAATCTTTGAGGTCTCGAGGAACAACGAGGTTAGCGGTCCGGTGATTAAATACGTCGATAGTCAAGCGGCACCGAAAGCCTTAAACTCCTCTACCAGGGTTGTTTTGGACTGCAGGAGATTATTGGAAACCACTGGGTTGTCCATCAAGCTCTGTTGGGTTCCTGGTCATAAAAATGTTAAAGGCAACGAGACTGCAGACGAATTGGCTAGGCTATGATCCGACTCAGCTACTATTGAAGTAGAGAACTCGGTCAAACCCCCCTGTGCCACTTCTTACAAGTAATTCATAGACACTACTCAGAGATAATTCAACAAAAATGGCTGGACGAAAGGGGATGTAGCATCTCCAAACGAATCTGGCCCATACTCTCAGAGAACGAAGTTGCTTGTTTCCTTGTCAAAACCTTATTTAAAACTTGTGGTGGATATCATCAAAGATCACTGCAAGGTAAGGGCAATGACCTTAAAATGGGACAGGACAATGATATGAACTACTGTGGAATCTGTCAAGACGAAGAAGAAATTGAGACGATCGAACATTTGCTCTGCCACTGTCTAGCACTCATTGACGCGAGACACAGGTTGGTGGGGGAACTAACACAGATCCTAGGATAATTCTTCAATTAGCTAGAAGACTAATATTTTAGGGCCCGTACACAAAACCCGAATAGAACCGCTTTAAAAAAGTGTGCCCAAATCTCTTGACTCTTCAGCAACTATATTCATCACAATACATCTTTCGAACTTACCTGAAATATACAATTTATCGCCCAGGACCACTCCAGCATGTTGACTACGATTTTCGGCCAGCGGTGGCAAATATTCCCAACGATCGGCACTGGCATTATAACGTTCACAATTCGACTGGGCCATATCATTGGCATAATGATCGCCATCGTTGTCATTCAGTTCACAGACACCACCCACAGCATAGAGAAAATTATTACCCATGGCATTTAAAGAGAAACGACAACGATCAGCCTGGATGGGTGCAATTGTTTTCCATTTATCCTTGGTGGGACAATAACGAAAGCCAAAGGGATGTATATATTCTTTAAGACAGACATCATATGATCCACCCACAATATACAAATCATTGCCCAACACAGCAGTGCCATAGTTACCTAAAATAGACAAAAGTATGGAAATTACAAAATTCAAAGAAAATATCTTTTTGTCCTCACTTACATTGTTCTATGTGTGGAATCACAGTTAAACTTTCCCATTTACCCACAGATGGCAGGAAACAACTTATCTGATTTGTCAAGCCATTTGTTTCGAAACCTCCAATCTTTACCAAGGCCAATTCCATGCCACGAGAATTGATCAGAACATTCGAGGATATAACCTCATCACAATCTTTTGTGCTATGTTTTCTTTGCTGTTGTTGCTTTTGCATTTCCTGCCTTACAGCATCGACATATTGTTGAGAATCTTCCTCGGCCGCTTCCGTGTTGGAAAGTAAACTGTTCACATCGTCGGCTTTGATTTGATTGAAACGCACTTGGGCAAATAATAATCTAGCTAAATCCAGTTTCAATCGTGTCTCCAAACAGTATTGTAATGCAATTTGCAATACCCTTTCCTCGCGACAATCCACTGGATAGTTACACGATAGTATATAATCCAACTGATCCCATGTTAGATTAATTAAATCAGATGTTTGGGCAAATTCATCTAGGCGAGAGCAAATAAAACGATATGTTTTACGTTTCAATGCATCCAAGGCATACAGATCAGCTAGAGCCGCTATGGCTACACAATTTTCCAAATCAATTTGGGATTCTAAATAATTGGAGCAAGCCTCAATTACCGCCTTCATTTGGACATGAGTCGATACGGAGAGAACATCTTGGACATTATTGCGATCCAATTCCAATTTTGATGTATAGGCATATTCAATGAGTAGCTCAATACCACGAGCATTGACTCCATTCAGTTTGATTTCGGATTGGCGAGCTTCACGCATGGCATCGGTAAACATGGCGCAAAAGTAGTCACTGCAGGCTGCCAAAACAACACGATGGGCCTGAGGTAAGGAAGGAAAACATATAAATTATTTCATTTTTTAAATAATAAAAATCTTCTGAAACTACTCACCTTAAATGTTCTTCCCTCCACAATAAGGGTAACATCAAATAACTTATCTGAACATCTTAAGGCGTTTAGTCCTTGCAATAATGCTTCCGAGTGAGAGGTTAACATAAAATTGGGTGCTGCTGCCCGTGAGTATTTCGACGAAGGTGAATTATCGGCCGTTGTATTGGATCGTCCTTCTTGGGTATTGTGCCGCAAGACAGAGGCAGCCCCACCAGCCATTTTTGTGCGTGATTTCCTTTTTTCTTCACAGTTCAAACAAAAATTTAAATTTTGTGATGTATTCTGCTTGGGCTCAAATCATGTGATTTCAATCTCGAGAAGGATTTTTCTTAGCAAATTTTGGTATCTAAAAAAATGGAATGGTGGATAATAAAAAAATATATATAAATAAATTTTTAAAATTCAAAATAGAATTGAATAAATTTTGCAATTTCCCCCCAAAACGAAAGGAAAATCTAAATGCCAATAGAATGAGATATTAAAGACATACTTGAAATTAAGATGTTGGATCATCTCAAGATGCGTATACAGGGTGAGATAAAAAAACTGTAACAAAGTCAAACGCTATAATTTTTACATTTTTTTTTTTAATTTTATTGAATGAAAGCAAAACTTTCGAAAATGGCATCAAATTTTAGAATAAGTATAGATTTCTTCGAATTGGTCACCTTTGGCACGAATTATGACCTTCAAACGGCCAATGAAACCGTCACACGCTGCCCGAATGTTGCTCTGTGCCCGAATGCGAAGTGATCGACACTTTGGTATTTTTTTGTGCCAACCTTGCTTTTCAAAATACTCCAGACACAATAGTCCAACGGATTGGTATCCGGAGATTTTGGTGACCATTGTGCGCTGGAAATGAAGCGAGGAACCTCATTTTGTAACCATTATTGGGTGGCGCGTGCTGAGTCCTGTTGGAATGTCCAAGGTCTGCGGTCAAAATGTTTGCGTGCCTAAGGCTTTAATACACCTACCAGAATATTTTCGCGATAATATTCGGCATTTATTGATGCCACGATCGATTAATACGAGCGGAGAGCGATCATCGGCTGTTATGGCGTCCCAAACCATCACCATGGCCGGCGCTTGAGTTCTGGTGGCCAACCGAAAGGGCACATTTGCAGCTGACCTCTTTTGTAAGTAAACACGATAATTTCGTTTGTTTACAAACTGCTGGACAACGAATGTTTTCTCATCGGCCAAGCGAAGCAACTCTTTAGCTCTTTTAAGTCTATTTTCTTTCTGTTGCTATTGGAATTTCAGTAACTTTACCCTGAGCTCATTTTTCAATATTTGCCGAATGGAATATTGCGATATTTTCAGCTCACGATCCATTTTTCGGCCACTGCAAAACGGGTTTCGATCAAGTCGATTCTTTACTTTTTGAACCATTTCTGCTGATGTTGCTGTTTTCTTCCGTCCACTTCCTTGACGTCAGGCTACGCTACCAGTATTACGGTAACGAGCGATGATACGAAACACAGAAGATTTATTCACATTTAAACACTGAAGTGCTCTAACAATAGCCACTTGTGGTTTTCTAGCCAAATATAAAGAAATCACACTATCACGCTTGAATTCTATCACGAATAATTTTTTTCTGGAAAATTCTTACCAAAATGATTTTGTACGCTTGTAAAGAATATAATGAGCTGTCACTGGAATAATTTTAACAGCTATCGAATGTGTGGCTTAAAAATGACAGCAGCCTGAAATTGGTTGCAGTTCTTTCATCTCACCCTGTATACCTCAGGTTGAAGCTTTTATCCCATTCCATCATTCGAGGTCGACTTCGTTTTTACTCTTAATTTCAAAAGTAAATATTCTTATTTGTAAGTTTTCTTATAAGTTCCCATATTGGTTATTATATACCAAAATCAGTGATCGATGTATTTCGTGCAAAATATTTTTATTATCCTCAAATACACTTCCATATTGTGCAAATTTGATCTCAATAATTATGGCTATATATTTGGCATTTGTATGCTTAATCCACATATTTCTTATCACCATTTCCATATTATTACTTCATTTCAATTTGTCATCTGTTCACATATTGGTCTATTGTGTCTGGAGTATTTCGGAAAGCAAGGTTGGCACTAAAAATTATCAAAGTGTCGATCACCTCAAGCAAGCGCTCCGCAGGGAACGGGCCAAAATACCGCAGAGCAACATTCGGGCAGCGTGTGACGGTTTCATGGGCCGTTTGAATGCCATAATTCATGCCAAAGGTGACCAATTCGAACAAATCTAAACTTATTCTAAAATTTGATACTATTTCCGAAATTGTTTGCTTGTTTTTTCATTCAGTAAAAAATATGTAAAAATTATGGTATTTGACTTTGTTGCAGTTTTTTATCTCACCCTGTATTTTTATTTTCCTCAAATACACTTCCATATTGTGCAAATTTGATCTCAATTAAATATGGCTATATATTTGGAATTTGTATGCTTAGGCCACATATTCCTTATCAGTATTTCCATATTATTACTTCATTTCAATTTGTCATCTGTTCACATATTGTTGCAATGTCAGCGTAATAATTGAAATGTTCGGTTCTTATCTCCTCTTGTACGGTTGTTGCGACGATGGACAAGTATGTGAAGGGCAAGGTTGGGAATTCCCTGTATGTATGAACGTAACGTATGTATGTAGTGCACAGAACATTTGATTAAAAAAAATACTGACCCAATTTTAAAACGATACTGCTGCCTACTCGTGACGTCCGTTCAACGAAGTCTCGTGTTTGCTTATCAATATACATTTTTGTTATGAATTCAGGTCAATAATCCCATAATGTGTTATGGATTTCAATTGTTTTCAACTTTGTTGTTATTGTGGGATAGAGGCGACTGGCTTTACCCCCTAAATTTCTATTGTATTGATTTGTTATTATCAATATTCTTCATCTAGCAAGTTGTTGTTTATTAATGTTTGTTTATAAAATACAAAATACATACCTACATACCCTAAAGGTAAAACGAAACGAGCGTTGAGCACAAAATAAACAAATTTTGCAAACTGTTTTCTTGGTTACCAAGAAGTAGAATGTCGTTGTTATCATTCACATCGCCCGACTCGACTGCCCTAGCGAGAATTGTGCTAACTTCCGTAAGTTTCTTCGCGAACAAAATATAAAACTCTATGTTAATTCTTTGTTTTAATTAAATAATTACTGGCAAGTAGCACCAACATCAACACCACCACTACTACTACCACTAATATTTCAAATAATATTGCTACAAAAGCACATACAACACAACAACAGAAAGACGAACCGAACCAGCAGACCTACAGCCAGCCAGCCAGCCAGACAGACGACAACGACCATTCACTTACCCAACAATAGGTGGCATGTATTTCTTTAGCTGCTCGTACTGACTCTGCTGTTTCTTAGTGATTTTTGGACACTAACTTGCTCACCATCATCACCACCATGGCACACACTTACTACCATACCACCATCATCATTGCAAAGAAATAAGACTTCCTCTTCATTGACTTGGGTGTTAAAGTCGTCGTCGATTTTATATAACAATCTATTCTATAGAAAATCACTTAGTGGGGCCAATCGTCAAAATTTATAGGACCAAACCCCTCTAATTATTTATAATATTTATTTATTTTTAACTATGATTCGTATGATTTGTGTGCAGAAATGGATTGTGGTCCAGAGAACTAAGCCAAACTAAAAATCCAATGGCGCCGTTAAAGGTATGAAAATGGCACCGCCGATATAATGATTTGCTATCAACTTCGTTATCAAGGTAGTGGCGTATGACGTATTAGATAAATACGATCGAACGGATTTAGTATACAAGGTTCAGACACTGAAAGAGCTACCAGCTGATTACTTTTTTTTTCTAAGCGTACCCGACTTCTGCCCGTTTTGTGAATATATTTGTTGTTTTGAAAAATAAAAACAAAATATTTTCAAAATCAACGATTTGGATTTGGATAATATTAACCAGATTTGCCGTGAAATTTAAGGATTAAACACTTAGGATCATTTTTTTAAGAGAACATACAGGCATTTCATTCATCTTTCGCGCTATTTGACTCATTTTAGAAATGAACAAAAAATATCAAATAAATGTAAACAACTTGTTGCCTATAATTTTGAATAATTCTGACGGGAAGCGGGCATAGACTCAGGGCTGTATTTCCGTAGTTTTACGAAGCTGTTCTACCTCCTTATTGTACCATGGTCGCATCGACACAGCTGCTGGGACAATAAACTATAAACTGTCAAACCAATTTTGGAATTGAAATTTTTGAATGAAAAATTATTCAAATTTGTAAAAATTCTTAAAAAAGGCATATCAAAACAATCTCCGAGTGACGTCATGTAGGAAAACTTACATAAATCTATTTATTTTTTAAGAAAAATTTACAAAATTTTGAGATTTCAATGACGCTTCTACCATGTATTTATTGTATTGAAAAATAAAAACGGATTATTTTCAAAATCAATAATTGGATCTGTTAGATCATATATTTGATAGAAAATCCAGGTATTTCATTCATTTTCCCGCTCTTTAGCTGATGATAACGGACGAAGCATTTTTTTGGCCGTGTGCTTAAAAAAGAAAAGCAATAAAATAATTTGGATGAAAGAGTGGTAAAAAAGAAATGACTTCACTCATGAAAATTTTTAGGTGAACGAAAAGTGTATCATAGGCAAACGATTTTAATTTCTTTTTTCAAAATTGAGTGGAATGGAACGAGGAATTATTAAGCCTGGTTGAGACTCTTATTAATTTTCGGTATTTCGGCGTCAATACGTCATCTTAATTCGCTTTAATTATTTTCACATTTAACGTTCCAAAGTGCTGCCAACGACCGGTAAACTTCCAACAACTCGAAAACATACGAATTTTCAATAATTGCACAATTGCATTTCAGGCATTTTGATCGTGTATGGGACACTTCAAGGTGTGCATACAAGCTGCTTAAAGTCTTAGCATTGCATATTTTGTAACACATCATAAAGGAATGACAGATCCGCACTTGAATCCTTATTTCTTAAGGAATCTGTCACTCTGAAGATAAACATAAATAACTGCCGTGACTGCTTTTGTTTATTTCACATTTTGACATTGCGGATGAAATCAGCCGGTCGTAGCGGAAATACTTGAAATATATGTGATAGTTTTTTGATAACATAATTCAGCTGATTTAGTAAGAAGATTTGGTTTATTATCTGAAAAGCAATTAAATTATTATCTGAAATATGTAAATATTTTATTCATACTCCACAAAACAGCTATTTTTCAATCAGCTTGTGTTACTGGATTGGAATTTGGAATTTTAGTTCACTTATGCTCTTTTCTAGAACATGCAAAAATTTACTATTTTTGTCATTTTTTCGATACCATAAAGAGTCGTAGTAAAATCTTTCACATTCTTGCAGTTGCGGAACAGATCGTTAATCAGCGTGTTGTAATAATATACTGTACAAAATACATCAGGTTTGTCTCCATGTTTCTGTGTTTCTTACAAAGTTAATATTGGGTTATCGAAAACACCTAACTTAATGTACTACGGAAAAAAACAGATCAGCGCTTCGTAAGGGTGTACTGTACAAAACACTTCATGTTTGGCTCGACAATACGTAACATGAAATTGCCATGGGCAAAATTTAAGTTGTAGCTAGTTCCGAGCTCCTTTAGTGAATGTGTGGATTTTTCTCATGTCTAATTCGTAAACAACAGAGTACTCCGGGATTTTGCTTTTTGTTTATTTTTTATCAAGTGTACCGTTTTGGCTTTCATATTCGTTTCGTTGGGGACGACTTTCATTTTGGTTTCCCACGCGCATTCGCTCTGTTTTGCAACAACACAACAGGACAGAAGTGCGCGCGCTTTAGAAGCACAACTCAACAACAATAACAACCAACTCAACGCACCTTAACAAAAAGATTGGTATTGGACACATTAGTTGAATAGGAATTTGAACGAAAATTTTAAAATAAAAGGTAAAATGAATCTTTGGAGGAAAAATTATTAAAAATTCTATTATTATTAGTGCTAATTTCATGTACTTTCGTACAAATTCCTATTAAAATCAACAAAAGAAAGAAATGTTACTAGTTGTGTTCCAGAACCTACAAATTAGTACTAATTAGTACTAATTCTGCTACAACGCGTTCCCGTACTGCAAAAACTAGCAAAACTTGCAGCTCTCTCCAGAAAAAAATGGCGCTGAGTGGTGCACATTTCTGCTTGTTTTTGCTACATGAATTTGGCCGAGCAGAAATGTGCCAATTGTGAACTTGACATTTAATTGGCAGGGCTAACAAGATTGAAAAATGTATCGATACATTTCAATGTTCCCGCGTCATAACAAAAATAAAGAAATGGTCAACTTAAAAACTAAAGGAAAAACTAATATTTGTAGGGCAAAAAAACAAAAAGAGAAAATATGGAGCACTTTTGGATGATTCCAGTAGTGAAGAGGACTGGCTGAATGATGAATCAGATTATTAATTATTATTATAGATTATTAGTTTTAACCATGGCAGAAGAATACAGGTAGATGCATCAACGCTTGGGAGCATTGATATGTCAAAAAAATTTAAATGTTTTTTCAAAAATAAGTAGATTTTTATATGTTTTCTTATACTACGTCATTCGGAGGCTATTATAATTCGCGTTTTTCAACAATTTTTACAAATTTTAATAATTTTTCATTTAACATTTTTAATTCCAAAATTGGTTTGACAGTTCATTGTCCCAGCAGCTGTATCGACGCGTCTACCTATATTCTTCTACCATGGTTTTAACGTATCGTCTTCAATATTATTTTTTTAAATTTTGGCGTCCGTTTCAGTAAGGTTTCACCAGTCCGATTTGGACTGTTTACTCTTGGAATTTTGACATTTTATCGCATTTCTGCTAATTTTCCGTTCCCTTATTTTTTGAGCACACCTAATTGAGAATGACATTTCGAACTGTTCTCTCTTCTGCTAGTTTTACTACAAAAAAAGTACTGGAACACAACTACTATGTGTCACGAATAGTGCCGTATGAACTTAGCATTACTTACTTTGCTGTTCAACCCTGGCACAGGTTTGTCAAATTCATTTTTTGATTATAACCGGCATTTTTGTTTCGTGATAGTTTGCTTTGGCTAACTGAAGCCCAATTGCTTTATAAAAATGGTTTCCTTGCAAGATATGTCCACCATTCATTCACCCGGTTCGTCTTCTCCAAGAGGAAGACTTTGTGTGTTACCGCAGCGCGAAATACAAAGTTCCACGTTTCGGGTAAGATATTGGACCGCTTTTATATTGGTGCCTTCCTAAAAATACTTTCTTTTCAGTTGGACTATTATCCGGAAATTAATATAAATTGTGATGCATTTAATAGCACCTCAATTGCTGGCTCGTCCCTTGCATCGGCGAAATGTTCAGATTCATGGCGCAATGTATTGGTGCCGGTCAATGAGGGAATTTTGAAAAGAATTACACGCACATTTTTCGAGAGCGGCTTTGCGGAAGCTTTAAATGAAGCCCGTGACACACAGGTGTCCGGTGGTAACACCATGATATCATCCGTTGCAGAGTTCACTTTCCGCACTCTGGAGTTCTTTAAACGTGTTAAATCCAAAGTATTCCCTCACATGAAAGAGCAGGGTATTGCTTCAATTGCCAAACATTCAGAGACTAGGTAAGACGATTTTCCCATTAATGTCAAAGCAAAATGAGCGAAGCATTCTGTTCATTATCTAGAGACTGGATACGTTCATATATACGGTGCATTGTTTGGCATCCGAATTGCTTTAAGATTGCAGTAGCCGGTATGGATGATATTGTGCGTATATACACAGATGAACCGGCCATTGTCCCAGTTCTGAAGGTAGGTGGAGTGTTGTATTTAAACATGATTTCAAACAAGTCATTGTATGAGTGTATGTACTTTCTAACCTTGCTAATTCTAATATAGAGCTCTTCCCAAAAATGGATTACAAGCATGGCATGGCGTCCTTACACTGCCGCTGAGTTGGCTGTCGGTTGTCAAAAAGGCATTTGCCTGTGGACCATGGATAATAACATGCACATCACACGCTCCACATCGCAGGCCATATTTTTAAAACAGTAAGTTAAATATATTTATATGGCAGTATACATTAAATTCAACAAATTCTTTCCTTTCTTAGTCCAAATCATTGCCCCATAACATCGGTCCAATGGAATTCGGATGGCACACTCTTGGCTTCGGCTTCCATTAGTGATACAGATGTTATTATCTGGAACGTGGATAAAATGCAAAATACAGCTCTAAAACGCGTTGGCCCCCCTTGTTCTCTACTCAAATGGTCTCCAAATAGCTCATGTTTATTCTCCTCTACAGTCACCAATGTGTTTCGCGTCTGGTCATGTGAAAATAAATGGCAGCCAGAACGTTGGACCATTACTCAAGGCACTGTACAATCGGCATGTTGGTCACCATGTGGTGGATTTTTATTATTTGTAACATCGGAGGAATCCATACTGTATCGTTTGCAATTTTTCGAAGAGCAGATTTTCCAAAGTAAGTAAAAAATGTATTATTTTAATGCAATCTGGTAATGTTTGCCAACTTCTTATAGAACGTAGATTCTTCCGTAAATCAGACATTTCTACAATCATAGTCATTTTCGCAGTGCAAAATTCAACTGCCCAGAATTCAATAATTATTGAACCTAATTTTCAAGAAACCATAGTTAAATGAAAAACAAATTATGAATATTTTAATGGAGATGAAATCATGTGATGCATTTTTATACCCTCCACCATAGTATGAGGGTATGTTCCGTTTGTAACACCTCGAAATATACATTTTCGACCCCACAAAATATATATATTCTTGATCAGTCTAAAATTCTATGTCGATTTGGGGATGTCCGTCCGGAACGGTTTAAAATTTAGTATTTGAAGTTCGTTATGAATACTGCAGCCTATGACAAAATTGTCTGTGCAGGTCTACACCCTCGTATAGGCCTCATATAACGGTACCTCCCGATATTCGGTATTTTGATAATTTGAGCGACATTACTCTCCAGAATTGTTTCAAATTTGGTATTTTAAGTTCGTAATGCATACTACAGCCTATGACAGAAAATGGATGGTGTAGGTCCACGCTTTCGTATAGCCCACATATAACGGCACTTCCCGATATTCGGTATCTTGATGCGATATTATTCACCGGAATTGTTTTAAACTAAAGTATTTGAAGTTCGTAATGAATATTACAGGCTGTGACAGAAAATTGTTAATGCAGGTCCACGTTTTGGTATGCCCCCCCTATATTATGGTACCTCTCTATTTTCGGTATTTTGATGATTTTACAAATGTTATTCAACGATTTTTTTCAAGTTTCGTATTTGAATATTGTAGTGGCTTATGACAAAGGTTGCCTATGTAGGTCCATGTCTTCGTATAGACCCCCAATATAACGGCTATGTACAGTATTTTTAAGATTTTAACAAAATTCTTAACGGATTTTATGAATTTTTTTTTGAAAATTTTTAAATTCGTTCCAAATGGTGGAGGGTATTCAAAGTTCGGCCAGCTTTTACAGCTTTTTTACGTGTCCTTTTTCCAAATTGACGGCAGCAGGAGGATTTTAAAATTGTTAAATTTTTCAATATTAGAATCTTCCCTTACTTCTGAAGGAATACTGCCAAAAGCAACTAAACGTGTTATATCAGAGAGGCAAGCTACAGGTGAATTATGACAAGAATTACGTTGTAATTTGTATAATGCTGCCTACATTTAATTTCGAAAAAAAGGACCAATTTTATTTTTTTAACTTAAATACAAACCTTGAACATATTTAATATTTTAGATAAATCATTATTTGATTGCTACAAATTTATTTTCATTTCAGATGGTTCATCACCTAAACAGGCGTTGCCTGTTGCTGATTTAAGCAAAATCACGGTGGACGATCGTGAACTTGGTGGTCAGCCCCAGTGTGTGGCTTGGGATCCAAATGGTCTCTATTTGGCCATAACTTTTAAAGATACCCCCTGTATTGCCATTTTCTCCACATGTGTACAGAAATTTAATCTATCCATTTCTCCTGCTTGTTTCCTGTCCGGCAATGGCAATGAATATCCTTCATATGTGTGCTTTCAAAGTAAACATCGTAAAAATAACGATACAGTTTTAACCATAGGCTGGTCCAGTGGTCGTATACAATATTTTCCATTTGGTAATATGTAAGCCAAATTAAAATAAAAATCATATATTTGTTTTATTTATTAAGGTACATAAATATAATATGCGTTTTTTTTTTATTGACATTTTTTTGTTTTGTTTTTGTTTATCAAATTACTATAGTGGGTGTAACTAGTAAATATGGTTGACATGATTGATTAAATAATGTTTTTCTTAATTAACAAAAATAAGAATTATAAATATACAAATATATTTTTAAATTTAACAATGAATCAAAATTTGGTGAGAAAATCTTTTTTCAAAAAGTTCTCATTACTTTCAGTTTTGCAATAACATTTTAAATACTTTATATTTTCCTATTTAAAAAAAAAACTCGATGAGGAGAGAAAACATGATACACAACTGTTAATAAGGAAAGGGCACATAATGGTCACAGGAAGTGGTGAATATTTGTTTCCTAATTTTCAACAATCACAATATCAATTGAGTTTTTGTTTTGAATATGTGTCCCGAAGTAATAGTATAAGTGATGCTTTCATTTACTTACAGACTAGTGCGGAAAAATGTTTGGATAAATCACATCAAGTACTAGATATAGAGTTTGGAAATCACACACAAATAACCATTTAACATAAATGTAATTTAGTTTTTTCTTCTTTTTTTTGGCATACAATTTTTTAGTCATTCATCGAATCGTTTCGGACAGATAGTGTAATGATAGGTGGAAAATACATTTTTTTCGCTTATATATCTCCAAAGAAGTAACCTAATGCTGTGGCTGCTTTTACGCGTACAAAATGGTTTTCATCTTTAAGTAGAGCAGCAAGCTTATTGCCAACGGCCTCAGTTTGGGTATTACGTTCCGCAAGGAAGTTATGCAAAATGCCTAGAAAAGTGAGTAAAAATCGTTAAAAAGAATTTTTCTAGAATAATATAAGAACTTTAAAACATTCATTTTCCCTTGGGCATAATGCCGTCTTTTTATACCCTCAGTCATATATCATTTGATACGGCCAAAATGTGCCTCATCGAAATAACGGCTTTAGACCCTAGGACTCCTTGGATCAAATCCGTATCACTACATTTGGAGTCGACCTAGCGATGTCCGTCCGTCTGTCTGTTTGGCTGATGCGCACGATAACTCTCGAAGGGAGTAACCGATTTGATCCAAAATTTGGTACTTCGTAATGTTATTGTCAAACTTAGATCGAGTTCGGAGATGGGCAATATCCGTCCACTCCTTCTGGTACCTCCCTTACAAAATGTCAACACTTTCAACGGAAATAATGCTTATTATAATTGATCCAAATTTGCATATCCTAATATCTGCATCAGTGCTAGGTCAGGTGAGAAAATGGACATATTGGTCCACTCCATCAAGTACCAACCACAAAGGTTAAAAATTTTGAATAATTACAACTCTTATAAAATGTGATGTAAGAGTCCGATTTTCTTCAAATTACAGATATCACAATATTATTATTAACCCAAGGTGTGGTGTGAAGATGGGATACATCGGTCCACTTCTTCTGGTACCTCCCAGCAAAGGATCAAGATTTTGAGTACCCATGAAGCTCATAAAACGCGAAATTAACATCTGATACCATTCAGACTTGGCACATCTCAATATTCCTATCAACACAAGATCAGCTCTGAAAATCGGTACCTCCTCCACAAAGGGCCTTCTGGTACCTCCTCCACAAAGGGCCAAAAAAAACAAGACATTAACATCCGATACCATTCGGACTTGGCACATCTCAATATTTCCATCAATAAAAGATCTCTTTTAAACATGGTAGAGCTCGGACCATTTCTTTCGGCTCCTCCTCCACAAAGGATCAAAGTTTTGAATAACTAAAACGATCGTAAAATCCGAAATAAGCAACCGTTTCTTTTCAAATTACACAAATCACAATATTTTTATTAACACAAGGTGTGGTGTGAAGATGTGATATATCGGTCCACTCCTGTTACCTTTGTGATATATAACTGTGAATCCCTTCTGGTACCTCACCCACAAAGGTTCACAATTTCCAATACTAATATATGTCATAATTTTCAATATCTAAATATTTTTGTTAATCAGAAATCTGATATGAATAGGTAATTTATCGAAATTTATGATTTCGCAAAAATTAGATATAAATGTTCGATTTCCTTCAAATTTTGCACATACCAATATTTTTATCTGTATTAGATGAAGTATGAAAATGGAATACTTCGGTCCGCTATATCTGTTACCTCACACATATTTCCACATTTTTCAAAAATTTGCAGATAGGAAAAATTTGTATAGGAGGAAGTCGATGTAGTCCAAATGTGTTACGTTTTAATATTTATATTAGTCTTAAGACAGATACGAATTGGTCAATATTGGCCAACTGCTTCGGAAGGGTCAGCAGTTTAAAAAATTATAATTCAAGGCTGGGGAATACATCTGAGGGCAAAACCCACTGATGCTCTTTAACTTGTTCATATAGACTTACCAATAACAATTGCTGCACTGCCTCTTACTTCTGGCCATTGGCTGCGTAATTTGGGTAAACATGAGTCTATAAAGTCTTGGATGTGATCGGTCATTTCCATAGACTAGAAAAATATATAAACGGCAACAGTTAAAATTGAGAAAAAACATGTTAACTAAAAAACCAAAAACAAACTTACAATAACTTTTACAAAATCTATAATAAAATTATTATAATTCAATTGGCCATGATCCAATAAATGTCGCTGAGCCATATCATTAATCTTCAACGAGTTCAGTAGGCGGCAAACTTTGCGTAGGGTACCCTTGCAGGCCTGAAAATAACGTTTCATTAAATTTATATTCTTTATTAAATGTACTCCCAATTTTACCCTAATAATAGAAGCTTCCCCTTCGCTTAAGTGTAAAAGTAAAGGAAATAGATTTGCTATTAATTGTTCTCTCAGGGCTTCATTTGATGATTCCGATGGCGATGCGGTACCATCTTTTACAGCAATCTTAGATTCACATAAGTCACCAAATAATATGATCGCGGCCTCACGTATTTCCAGAGAATAACTACCAAAGAAGGGTCTAATACGTATGGCCAACGAAACATGGAAAGTTTCAACACGATCACTGGGAAGATTTTGTAATATTCGTGATAAACCACGCATACTCTCTAGGGGAATATTTATCAGGCAATCGCTGCAAGGAAATGTGAAATCATATAATTAGTTATTGCTTTGAAATATAGTTAAAATCTTTCGATTCCACCATTTACCTCACAGTATCATCAACTCCTTTCAAAAGAGCCGTTATTGCAGTCTCATCATATTTTTCAATATCATCATCATTAAGTAGGCCCACATAGCCCATGCCCTGAATACTTAAACCTCGCACAATTGCATTGGGATCACTTAGAGCATTTGTCAAATGATTCATTATATTTGCGGATATTTCTCCACACGGCTTGAGGGGTACCATGCGTGAGAATAATCCCACTGCTGCCACCCGCTGGGCATCGTACGGAGAGGCTACATATTTACTTAGGGTTGTCACAATATTTTTCATTTCACTGGAATCGATGTCAATTTGATTTGACACACCAATGGCCATGGGGGTAAGCAGTTCTATGAAATTTTTGAGATCAGTACTAGAAGCTAAATGGGTGTGTACAGTAAGTACGGTTGCAATTTGTTCCATTTCCAAACTGTCGAGAAATTTTTGGAATGTTTCCAAGACAATTTGGCAGGGATTCAATTTGATCGATTCTTTATTGGGTACAAAACCGAATTTATTTTTCGACCCCGTTGAGAGAGTGATAATGGAAGAGGAACTCGAGGTGGGCGTTGGAGAGACACTACGCGGCGGTCCAGTTTGCATGGGTGCAGCCAGATTTGTATATGAGGCCAGCGATGTGAGTAGCATGGTAAACAATTCGGGAAATTTCACTTTAAGTTGCTGTAAAATAAATACCATAAAATATATTTAGTACTTTAATCTGTATTGTTTTTTTTTTTTTTGCTTACCGTTTTAATATCCTTGCAAGGCATCATTTCGTGTAGAGCACAGAAAATGGCAAAAGGCTGAACACTTGCAATTTTTTGCCTATCCACACATGCTTCGTTTTGTTCATATATACAGGCGGATGAAAGTATTTGTAGAAAGTGATCGATTAATACCCCAGCCAGCTCAGCATCGGTACATACCAAATGCCAATATTCGACAATGTTTCTGAAAAGGGGAAATCTCGTTAGTTCAGATTTTTTTCGCAGACTATTTTTGGATACGAACTCTTCATAAGGTAGCTGCTGTGTCAGTATTTCACATGACACCAACTTTGGATGATGCTTGGTGAGGGCCACCAATGCTTTAAGTACTCCGGACTTGGCACGATTTACATCACAGGAGTGTATGGCCTGAAAGGACAAAAAACAAGTAAATTAGTATCAGTCGGTTTTGTATAACCCCAGCCTTGAGGTATGATTATTCAAACGGTTACCCTTTATGGGGCAGATTCCGAAGTAGTTGGCCAATATTGACCAATTCGTGTCTGATCTAAGACTGGTGTAAATATTACAAAGTTACAGATTTGGACTACATCGACTATTTTCTATACTTTGTTGTGTGAGGGAGGTACCAGAAGGAGTGGACCGATGAATCCTATCTTCACACCAGACCTTGAGTTAGTGGAAATAATGGGACGTGTGTAATATGAAGAGAACCGGATGCTTATTTCGGATTTTATGTTCGTTTTGGTTATTCAAAATATGGACCCTTTGTGGGGGCGGTAATGGAAGGAAAGGTCCGATCTCTACCATCTTTATAATAGACCTTGTGTTGATAGAAATATTGTGATGTGCCAAGTCTGAACGGAATCGGATGTTAATTTCGAGTTTTATGAGCTTCATGAATATTCCAAAATTTAACCCTTTCCTTGTGATGTGCCAATTCTGAACGGAATCGGATGTTAATTTCGCGTTTTATGAGCTTCATGAATATTCCAAAATTTAACCCTTTCTGGAGGAGGTACCAGAATGAGTGGACCGATATATTCTATCTTCACACCAGACCTTGGTTTAATAAAAATATTGTAATGTGTGTAATTTGAACGATCGGACACTTATATCACATTTTATAATTGTTATAATTATTCAAAATTTTTGATCCTTTGTGGGGGAAATACTGGATGGAGTGGGCTGATATTTCCATTTTCGCACCTGACCTAGCACTGATGCAAATATTAGGATTTGCAAAGTTGGAGCAAAATCGGATTATCTTTTCTCTTTCTGGCAGTAAATTATTTTCTTTGAAAATGTTGAAATTTTTGGAGGAGGTACTAGAAGTAGTGGTCCAATGTTGCCCATCTCCGAACTCGATCTAAGTTTGAAAATAATATTACGATGTGGCTGAGGGTTTAAAAAAGAATTATATATGTTTTCGTATTTATCATGTTTCGCCTACAATCACATTATTATACAGCCCTCATTTCAAATACTCACCCCCAGACATTCTTTAACCAGATCGGGTATAGCATGGAATAATTCGGACCCTTTCTGTTGTATAAAGAACTTCAACACCACGGAAGCACCAATTGCGGAGCTTTGTTCTGGATCCTTGAGTCCAGCCAATAAGGTTTTACTGAAAGTGAAAAAAAAAACAATAATTTCAACAAAGTTTTTAATTTGAATTCCCATCCCATGGAACTTACCAAAATTGCAGATATTGAAAATTGGAAATTCGTACAGCAATGATCTTTGCAATCTCGCCAGCAAGATTGTAAATTTGTTTAGGATCATCGGTGATAATCTGTTCCTTGACCAATTCAATTTCTTTCACCCAATCCGTTTCACTGTCGGCAATCGTGAGAGTTTCATAAATACATGCAATCTCTAGAGTCTTTTGCAGTATGTCCACCGATACTTGACGTACTGTGCCATTCGAATCGATACAACGTGGCACAATCTTACCCAACATTTGCCCAGTCTGATTGAATTTCGATGGTGCTTCGCAGCCAATTTTCATTGATTTTATGTAGACTTCTAGGGTGTTGTTGTAGACGTGACTAGCACAAATGCGTACTTCAGAGTTCTTATCACGAGTCCATGTTTCTAGTATGGAAATTATCAAATCCAAGGTCGATGGCGAGGGATCCATTTCGATTATAACTTTGACTAGTTTATTCAATTCCGGCAACGACTCATTAAGATATTTGGCCAGAAAACTGTTGCGTTCATCTTCTTCTTGCGATTCGAATTTCATTTTTAAATTCTGGGCACAGTTGAAGAAGTTCTTACAGGCTATTTCGAAGATAACTCCACCATCAACCGATTCGGTGGCATCATCTCCGCCAATGCGTATAAAGTCGGTGCCCAATTTCAGAATAACCGGCAGCAGAGGTAAATCATCGAATGGCGGTTCAATGGGTATACTAAATACCGCCTCCATTATTTGTTTACGATATTTAAGAGGAGTCTTTTGCGTTTCCTTGGCGCTTATCATTTGATTGCAAATACTCAAAAGCGTCTTCAAAATGGCAGACATTATGCACTGGTCTTTGGTGAATTTCAATTGGAGTATTAGAAAGTTAAATATGGTGTCATCGAGATTGGCCAATGATTGTTGCGGGTCAGCTTCATCCATGACATGTCCCAGGGACTTAATGGCCAAAAGATTGGTTTTGAAATTTTCCAATTCCTTGTGAGTGTCTTTGATAAAGTGTAAATTCGAAAAGAAACCGGTTGAATGTTTGCGGCCGCCAATGTTGGCCAATTCGGCTAGTTTCTTAATAACTAGGGCGTAGTGTTTGCGAGCCAAATAACCCAAGGCCTGGCAATAGGGTATGATTTTATCCTCGTATTCAATGTGCTTGGTATGTTTATCCATTTTCTCCTGCCTGGCAGCGGTGATGATCAAATCCAATTTGGCACTGATAGTGGCATCGTCGTTGACATTGCACAACGTCAATGCCATGGCCTTCATTAGCATGCCCCGTTCGGTATTCAGAGAGGGAATAACAAATTCATTGTGTGGCAAGACCATTGGATAGATTATCGTTTGCTCAGCCATTTTATTGGCCAAACGTTCGGCGAAATGTTCATCATGTTTCGCCAGAAATGCATTGGTCTCCACAATGAAGCTGTTAAGTTTATTGAAATACAAAGATTCTTTGTTGATATTCAAGAGTAAATCCGATATGGACTTGTCCCACAATTTGCATAGCTCCGGATTTAGATGGGGATAATAGTATTTCAAGAATGTCAAGATATTTGTGGCTCTCTTAATGCAATGATAATTGCCCAGCAGAGATAAACATCTGGCAAAAATGGTCTCTGCCGAGGGTACTACAATTTTACCGCTCCTTACCAAACTGGGAGTTTTGGCCGTTGTTACATCCTCTCCGCCAGCATTGGACTCCCTCCTTTCGGGCGGCTCATCTTCATCATGGGCAATTTCAAATTCTATATTTGCCGATTTGGCAAATAAACTTGCCAGACATTTGGCCAAATTTGAACAAATGTCGGTGTAATCCAATAAAACAAAATAGTTTAGCAGCTCCCGTTTCAGCAACTCGTCCATGGTACCCACCGTGGAGGCCAACATATGCAGCGAACTTTCACAGGACAAAACAAAGTTGGCATGGTCTTCCAGGGAACCATGTTCCTGATTGACTTTGGTGTATTTACAACTGTAACGTACTATGAACCAAACAAATTCCTTTTCTTTGATAAATGACTTCTGGGCCAGGGCCACAATGCACTTTAGCAAAGTCATTTTCATTTTAATACTTTTCTCACCGGTAATCATTTGCTTGAGGCATTCAATAAAAGCCTGCAACTTATTTTCAATGTTCACCGTGGAGGTATTCAGAAGATGTGTCAATATCAGCAGGGATTTGATGCGTTCCCTTTCACTGTTATTACGCAAATGCATTAGCAATGTATCCATTATCTTTGTGGCATAGACACTGGACAATAAATGGAAACATCTCAGGACTTCATAATGGCCCTTAACGGTTTGTGGTTTCTCATAGTCGGGGTAGACACAGACCAAATCAAAAAGATTCGAAATCAGTTGGTCGGCAACACTGTCAAGTACCGAAGGTTGTATGGCAATATTTGTTTTCAACACAGCCGACAAAAATTGGGTAATACTGTTGCGTTCTATGGAACGGCGATATAGGCCCAATACCTGTGGCACCAAACGGGGTGTTTGATCTTGTATTGTATCCGGTGGCAGTAGGGGAAACATGGAAGATAATGCCTGTAATATTTCCACACAAACTTTGGGTTCTCGCGAGTGTAGCCACTGTTTGAAGAGCACATCATAAGCTATGGATATTTCTGTTGAACAATCGGGAAAGGGTTCAATGGTTGTAGATTCTGCCTGAGGTTTTGTTTCGATAATATCTTCACCATTTGTGGTTGCAGCACTATTTTCTGCCGTTGCAGCGGCAGCATTTGCTGAAGTTTGTTCCAATAGAGCTTCACTAAAACGACCAATTGCTGTAAAAACAAAAGAAGAGATAAAAGGCGAACCGTCATCTTAGGAACTTCAACGAAAATTACATATATTCTCCTTACCATATGCATGAGCTTGTTTAATGTGATCCTGTTTTATGGAATTTAAATTTGTCAAAATAGTTGCTAAAATCTGTTTTATAAAAGGCACTACAGCTGGTACATTGGTGGAGGCCAAGGTGCCAAAACATTGCATCACCATAAAATGGGCAACTGTTCCCTCTTTCGTGTGAGCCATTAGGGCTTCCATAACCATTTTACAATCATCGCCCCGACCAATGGCCACCAGGATATTGAGGGCATGATTTTGTATGTTGGGAACATGTTCAGTGGAACGTGTTAGTTCTTCTATGGCCAATGCGGCTAGTTTTTTATGGGCCTCCGTTGGTATGGTCGTATCCGAGGAAACTACTTTTTCAATGGCCCTGTAAAGAACATAAAAAATATAATTCAATTTAATTTTTCTTATAAAAAGAAATAAATCGAATTCATTACTCACTTTAGTATAATATTTGTTGTTTGTTCATTTAGTTTTGGATGTTTTTCCCGGTACTCACAGAGAATTTCTGTTGCCCTCACCGGATGTGTTTCAATTATCTTTACCAAGGCAGACTGTATGGCAAAGCGCACGGTTTCATCCTTGTCAGCCAGGCCATCGAAAAGATTGTTTAGAACACCTGAAAGAGGAAATGACAAATAAAATATAAGTTCAATAACGCATTTCCGATGGTAGCTCAGACAGACAGAAGAAAACGGAAAGAAAACAAATCATAGCAAAAACTAGTTCCACCAATACTATGGAGGCTACGTTAACTTAATTATTCCGTTTGTAGCACACTAGAATAAACATTGTAGACCATGTAATGTATATATATTCTTGATCGGAATAAAATTCCAAGTCGATTTAGTGCTGTCCGCCTGACTGTCTGTCTGATGTAATCTCGCTATCTGCCAAACGAATACAGACAGAAGGCTAAATTTTGGTTATGTGTGTTTGTGTCACTAGGCCGGCTAAGCTGGAAAGTGGGTGTCATGTCTGTCCACGTTTTTATATGGCATATGTAAGGGTACCTCCTGATATTCGGTATTTCAACAATTGAAGCCTCATTTTTCTATCGGAATTTTTCAGTAAATTTTCAGTAATTAGAGTTTTTAAGAGGTACTGCCCCTTGTGGCACAACACTGTCTATATAGGTTCACGTTTTCCTATAACCCCAAATAAACGCCCTTCTCTTTATTTCGTATTTTTATCATTTTCGGTTTTTTTTTTGAACGACTTGTTAAAAATCGAGTATTAGAATATTGCCTACATTGTCGCATAGCCCCCATATTGCGCTATCAGCTAATAATCGGTATTTCAACGATTTTAAACTCATTTTTAAAGGGATTTGTTTATTTGTTGTCCATAATGGATTCTATCTCGTTTTGCAGAATGTCGTCTATATAGGTCCCTGTTTTTCTGTAGCCCTAAGGGGTTTTCTAACCTTAGTCACATAGCTATAGAGGATATAAAACGTGCCTCATCGAAACAACTGTTTTAGACTCTAGGTCTCTTTGGATCAAATCCGTTTCAGGTCATTTGGAATCGATCTAGGGATGTCCGTCCGTCTTTCTGGCTGGTTGGTGAGCACCATAGCTCGCGAAAGGAGTATCCGATTTAGTACAAACTTGGTACATCGTAATATTATTATCAAACTTAAATCGAATTCGGAGATGGGCAATATCGATCCACTCCTTCTGGTAACTACCCCATCAAGGTCAACATTTTTTTGCTAAACAGAAAGAGAAAGGATAATACGATTTTGCTCCAGCTTTGAAAATCCTACTGTTTGCATCAGTGCTAGGTTAGGTGAGAAAATTATCAATATCGGTCCATTCCATCAAGTACATCCCACAACATTTGGAATAATTATAAAATGTGATGTAGGAGTCCGATTGTCTTCAAATTACACACATCACAATATTTCAAGGTCTGGTGTGAAGATGGAATGTATCGGTCCACTCCTTCTGTTACCTCCCCCACAAAAGGTCTAATTTTTCAAAAAAACATATTTTACTGCACAGAAAGAGAAAGGAAAATCCGATTTTGCTCCAACTTTGCTAATCCTAATATTTGCATCAGTGCTAGGTCAGGTGAGAAAATGGAATATATCGGTCCATGCCATCAAGTACCTCCCTCACAAAGGCTCAAAATTTTAAATTATTATAACTTTTATAAAATGTGATGTAGGAGTACGATTGTCTTTAAATTACACACATCACAATATTTTTATTAATCCAAGGCCTGGTGTAAAGATGGAATGTATCGGTCCACTTCTTCTGGTACCTCCACCACAAAGGGTCAACATTTTGAATATCCATGAAACTCATGAAACGTGAAATTAATATCCGATTCCATTTAGACTTGGCACATATCAATATTTCCCTCAAAACAAGAGCTGTTATAAAGATGGTAGAGATCGGACCATTCCATCTGGTACCTCCTCCACATTGGGATCATGTTTTTAATAACCAAACTATCATAAAATCCGAAATAAGCATCCGATTCTCTTCACATTTAATACCTCCTATTATTTTTACTAACACAAGATCTAAGGTGAAGATGGCATGTATCTTCTGGTACCTCCCCCACAAAGGGTCAACATAAAATTCGAAAACGCGAAATTAACATCCGATTCCATACAGCCTTGGTAAATCTCAATATTTCCATCAACACAAAGTGTGTTATAAAGATGGTAGATATCGGACTATTCCTTCTGAGGCATCCCCCACAGTGGGTCAAAGATTTATATAACCAAAACGATTATAAAATCCGAAATATTATTTCTACTAACACAAGGTCTCTCTTTAAATTTCACCCGTACAAACATTTTTGCTAACACCAGATCTGTTGTGAAGATGATATTATCTACGAACTCCTTGTGGTACCTCAACCACAAAGGGTTACAATTTTCAATCATTTTATCCGAAAAAAGTCAGCGGTTCTTTACAACTTGCTATATCTAAATATTTCTTTCAACCAGAAACCTGAGATGAGCATGGAACTGATAATTTGGCATAAGATTGGATATAAATGTTCCATTTTCTTGTAATTTTGATCATATCAATATTTTAATCTGCATTAGATGAAGAATGAAAGTGGAATACTTCGGTCGACTATATCACGCACATTTCAACATTTTCTAAAAATTGCCACACATCTCATATAAAATGAAGTAATTAATCGATATAGTCTACGTCGCAATATTTATATGATATTTATTAAGGTCAGCTACGAAATAGACAATATTGGCCCATTCCTTCGGAACCTACTCCATAAAGGGTCAACAATTTGAAAAATTATAACACAAGTCGAAATATATTTAAATATTATATATTTTTAAATAATCGAACATTGGCTGAGGGTCTACATATGTCGGCAAAACCGACTGATATTTTTTTAATTGTTTTTTTTTTTTTTTTGCAAAATAGTTGCAAGCCAACTTTCCTTTCATTTATCATACGCACACCTGCCCCAGTACCTTAACAAAAATCCAAAGTGAGCAGCAATGTACACTTTGTCAACGAAACCCTAGTAAAATCACCATGGTCGTTTGGTCGGTCGGTCGTTCGTTCGTTTGCTCATTGGTGGTTGATATTCAGTTCAATGATGAAGATGACGATAAGTAGGCATTGAATGATGATGGTGATGTTGTACCACATTCAGAATTTGATTGTGGAAATGTTATTATTTCGCTTGACAAGAATTGTATACATATATAGATATTTAATTTGTTTACAATATAACAACACTCGCATACAGATGCAAAGTGGGTGATTCAGAAGTGATTGCGAATATTTAATTTCGCCACTACAAACAAAATCGTCGTCGGGCAGACAGCAATTCGATCAATTTAAATAATGTAATTTGATAATGTTTGTGTGTGCATGGGTCTGTGTGTTTTCCAAAGAAGTACCTTTTGTTGTCCAGGCTACAAAGATTCTTTTGGAGGGCGGTAACAATATATTTTGTTGGTTCGTGGATTTTCTGGGTAAAACTTTCTTTAATTTATCAAACATGTCCATTAAATGGGTGTAGCCATGTATATGTTCGGGTGTATAACTTTGTAATTATTTGTTGTTCATTCAATATTTTTTAACGATTTTATAACATGCAATTGCTTCACTTTCTGCTGCGGCATATAATTAAAATAATATCGCTTTGTTGTTGTGTGAGTGCGTGTTGTTTTTTTTTTTTGCTTTTCATTAGACAATTGCATTTTCCATTTGTTTATAGAGAGCAAAACAAAGAAGTCGACAAACTAAAAAGCAAATGAATTTATGGCGTTCGCCAAAATGTGTGTGCAATAATTGTGAAACACCAAACGTTACTGAATCGCCGCCGCAATCGGCTAGAGAGCCTAGTCTCATAGAGGTAGACAGCCGTCGCTGTTGGTCGACGGCAATGAGTCATTGAATGTTTATATATTGTTTTCGCTTTGTTTTGTGTTATTAAATTGCACTACGTCATACATTAAATATTATAAATTATTAATAAAATTTTGCAACACGTGATAGTGTTGTTGTCGTTGCTAGTGTTAGTGGTGGTACACGATGGCACAACAAAGTACTCTTCCATAATGTGTGATCTGAAATATTGTGGTCTTTATCAGTTGTTATTTTAAATGTAACAAAGATGTGGTCATACCAGCATGTACCCGTCGCTTCAGTTGGTTTATTTTGAAAAAAGAAAGACATATTTTTAAATCAGTAAAAACTTGTACATTCAGCCGGGTCGAACTTGGAACTCCCTAAACCGCGAGGCTAAGAAAAAAATAAAAAATGGGATTCAATATTCGTACGAATTCTATTTTGAACTACAATTCGGCTGAAGAATGGAGCATAAAGTGGGTGGTAGTCGTAAAAGAGCGCTAAATCAAAAGGTTAGCCCAAATAGATAATTTTCTGCTAGAGATGCGTTAAAATTATTAAAGTACCGAATATCAGCAACTACAGTTATATAGGGGTTATATGACCTGACCAACACGGACAATGATCTTTACCTTTACGAACTACAAATACTGAATTTAAATACCGAATATCAGAAGGTCCCGATAAAATGGACGCTTTAGAAACGTTTGAACATGTCACACTATGCCACAGAAGGTAGTATCCTTTACAGACTCTAAACGCTAAATTCTTCTCAAAATATCGAATATGAAAGCTATAGAAAAACGTGGACCTATTCCGCCACCGAAGGTAGAACTCATTATACAAATGCCAAATTTTTAACAAATCTATTAATAAATATGACTCAAATCGTAAAAATACCTAATATCGGGTTATATGGGGCCAATACTGACAAGTTGACCCAGTAAAATATTCTATGCCAAAGATGCGATACAAGTGATATAGATTGGGATGTACCCATTTATAAAGGTTTATTTTTTATGGAGTAGGTTCCAAAGGAATGGGATAATATTGTCCATTTCGTATGGGACCTAAATAAATATGATATATTTGGACCCTATTGGTTACTTCCTTCTCTTTATATGAGATATGTGATAATTTTTGGAAAATGTAAAAATGTGGGTGAGGTACCAGGTTTAGTCGACCGAAGTATTTCATTTTCAAACGTCAGATCTTGTGTAAATGGAAATATTCAGATGTGCCAAGTCTGAATGGAATCGGATATTAA